ACTTCTTTCCCTGGCTTAACAACAGAATAGACCAAGTGCTTTGCAGTGTCTGCACAGTGATGACAATCTCATCTGTACTCCATTTCAAAAGCAAAAGGTTAAAAGGTAGCTCTAAAAGGAAGTTCATCAGTTAATTAAAGCGGTCACATGCAGCCACTTTTGCAGTAACAGCTTTTATAATTATGCAGTTACTCTGATATGGATGATGCTTAAACCTTTGGCAGAACAGGTCAACAATATGGAAGCTATGTGTATATCCTTTCTTTCCGAAAGTTAAATGACAAGATTGATACCTCTAAGAAAATACACCAGTTTATTAGATACACCTAAAACTAACTAACTGAGGCTCAGCTAAACAAAAACACCTCTCTATGTGTCATGGGCCAACCCTTCATCACCATCTTCATGTGCCCCCATTAATGACCTCTGTTGTAATTTTTTAAAAATATTTATTTATTTATTCATTCGAGTGAAGATAGGGAGCCAAGAGATGAGCAGTGATGACATAATGCCCCTACTGTAACTACTGAACAACACAAGTCAAACAAGACCAGTGAGACTGCCCTGTCTATGTGTTTATGTGTGTGCCAGAGGGAACGAGAATGCACGGCCCATTAGTCGTAAACAACTATTTCCTCTAGAGATTTTGTATTTTGTTAATGGGTTTGGGGAACTCAAAGTGCTTTTCATCATGTCCTAGTTTATGTGTGTTGTATACTGTGTTTCTGTTTAGTGCATTAAATGTTTGATGATGGTGAATATTTTAGCATGTCGCCCTGTGTCACCACTGCTTATCCACACATCCTTTTTCCATCAATGAAGTTTGTACCGTTTTGAACTTTATCTAGAATTTACTGTGTAAATTACAGCTCTCCGTGTGCCGTGTTAACTCCGACTACCATCTGTCACCATATTCAATTTTTCTCTGTCCCAGCTGCCACTGATGTGAATTAGGCCGAATGAACCAGAGCAAATCACAGAGGCTGCAGGTTGAGACCGACACTGCTTTCCAATAGCACTTCAAGGTGTCATCACAACAAATTTCTCTCATACTGACTTGTGTTGATTTGAAAAATTGACTTTGCAGGATGACACATATCCCTATGTGTTGTATTACAGTGTAGGTTGCTAATCATAATGAAGGGAAACTGATGATGGAGAGAGTGCTAGATGAAAATATCAATCCTGATTGGGGATGCCTGGCCCTTTGAAACATCTGTTTGAGCAAGGCACCTAAAACTGCACCTTCACTGGATTTACCAAACAGTCATATTGCTTATCTGTGTAGTCATATTATGCCTTATATTCCAACAACAGTGCAGGATCTAGGAAGGGTATTCTCAGAATCTTGGTAGCAAGAGGAATTTGGGATAATTAATTCCATGTCATCCTCTGTTAAAGTTCTATGTGCTGTTATCTAGTTGACTTGAAGAATTGTTCAATTGGTAATATTCTGTTATTGGGTTGTAATGGGAGGAAAATGAGAAAAAAGTAGAAAGGATTTCTGCTAAAACATATTGCTGAAAAATCTTCAATTAAACAAAACCGCAGGACTGTCAGCAAAGATGCTGAGAATCTTCTCTGGTAATACACAGTATAGGTATGTGGCAGCAGCTCTCACTTAAGAAGTTCTGACTTTGAATAAGGTCGAGCAATAGAAATAAGGCTAATTGTGATAGACCAACAAGCCAATGTGCACTCAGTAACATTTCAGGGTTTCATTCGTCATGCTTAGACTGACTTGCAGTCACCAATATAATGGATATAGCAAATAATACAGCATGCCTGGTAGCATAATGCATCACAGAGAAGTGTCATTGGGAAAAATATAAGCCAAGAAGACAGGGTAAATATATTCTCCTCTTCTCGCTTTTTTTAATCATTCTATAACCATGACTGGAGCTACATCAGTTGTGGAGATGAGGGAGAGCTACTTAAGTTACAGTTCAGTGGATGGTTCTGTTGTCTCTGTCATTCTGTGTTATACTGTTTTTGGCAGCATCCTTTACTCTCCCTGACCTGTCTCCTTTTATATCCTCCCTTTCTTCTATAATCATCCTGCTTTCATGAATTTCCCTCCCCTTCTTTCTGTCTCCTACCATCTCACCACATTTCTGTTTATTTGCTCCCTCATTAGCAGCTCTCTTTCACCCACCCCAGCTCCTTTTATGGCATTATGCTGCATTTCAGCCTCAGGTCTTGTGTCCAGGGTAATTCAAAAGGGGTAAAGCTGTAAAATAAGCTTTAAACTATTAAACACCAACATTACGTGCAGCCACATAAAGAGGGAGCAAAGGATGAAAAGTCAGCTATGAGACAGTGCAAGTGCCATAAAAAGACAAAAAGGATCTTCCAGCTCGTCCATCCTTCTCTATTCATCATTTTTGTTCCAGTCCTTCTGCTCTTTTTTCTTTCCACTTCATGTTCTTTCATCAATATGTGAAACGTTTCTTTCCAAAATACCACATTTTCTGAACGTTACTAATAATATTCAGAGGTGGTTTTTACTTGCTTAGTTCATTTAGACTTCCTGTCTAAATTTTTCCCGTGACTGTCGTGTTGTTCACATTTATCCATGCATGAACCTGTGTTATCTATATTGTCCTTTGAGGCACTGCTTGTGTTAAACACGTGCACACACACAACACTGAGAGCGGCTGTATTTGCATGTTCCACCTGGAGTCCGCTCATTATGTAGCGCACACAAACAAAGCTGACGGTTCGCTTTCTCCCCCTGCCCTGTTATGACGCACCATCCATCTATTCCCCAGCCTCCACTACTCCTGAGGGACTCCCTCATGTTGTTGTGTCCTTCAGATCCCCTCTGTGCCTCCTCTGCTCTAAATTTCTTTCTCCATTTGTCCTCACCCTTCAACATATCTTTCTCTGTTTCTTAAAACAGACAATACTCTATCCACCTTATTTGCATCTGCCTCTGTCTCTTTCACACTTTCACGCTCTGTTCATCCATATCATGTCTTTCATATTTAAACATATACTCTATGTTTGTGTGGGCCTTATGCAGTTTTCCTCATTTCCCTTGCAAATTGGAGGCTGCAGTAACTGAGTGATAATGTGAGTTTTTTTTCCCGGTGTGTAGTTCTCAGATAACCAGTGTTGGACAGTAGCTGCCAGATATTTTTATTAGATTATTATACAATGAGTGTAGTAAATATTCAGAGCAGCTTGCTCATTTTGAATTTTTTGTTTAGTCTGGTCCTAGTTGCTTAAAAATTCATCTTGAATACATTTGCTCCATTTCTGCTGCTTTGATTTAAGGGTTTATGTGGATCAATAAGGACTCAGGCCTTCCCCTTGCTCATCTATGCAATATTTCTGTTATGTTGTACATATTATACTGTAGATACACTATAAAAAAAACAAATCAAACACTCAATGTTCTCCAAATGGTCTCATTTTTAGAAAGCATTTTCCACAGATTCCTTAAGGTTATTTTAAACTGCTGATTGTGACCTAGCTTCAAGAGTAATCCTTAATTAGAATTCAAGACCACAATGGGCTGACAGTACTGACCTTGGATCAGTCTAGGCCCTGGATAATGATAGCCGTCAGCAGCTCTGTTTAATTGGATGGCAGATCCGAGATCAGTGTTGTAAATTTGCTGATTTTGAAAGAACACACTGCAGAGGGAACCGACGTGAACAGCCTAGGGAACAGACAGAGAGAGGGAGAGGCAATTTCATTCAGAGCAATACATCTAGTTGTTGAGACATGCCATCTCATTAGGTGTACAACCACCATAGCTCATGTAGTAATAAGCAGATTGAAAGCAATGTGGGCACTGCTGCTGTTTGACATGATTACACTTGTAGGTTGTAGGTTGCTGATCAGTAATGATATGTTACTCTGCAACATATTCTGGATTATCATATAGACAAAGGGTGTCAATAGTGAGTGACTTGTCCATTCATCTTTTTCAACATGCCTGGCCTGGCACACCTACTGTTTAAATACATGTGAAGCAAAGGAAGACCTGCAAACAACTATTTCTTTCCAACCTGGACTCAGTATATCTGACATGTATCAAAATCAGATGATAAATTCCCTTGACATATTGCTCAAAAGTCAATAATGCTTTAGGTACTAACGGTAATTAAGTACCTCCTTATTTCACAATTTAGAAAACCTTTCTTATTCACTACAGTGCCAAGAGTTGCATGATAAGATTGATTTTCCAGAGACTTTTGCCTCTGTATGCTAATATATATGCTGCAGCCAACAATTAGCATAGCTTAGCATTTAAGACTAGTAGCACAGGGAAACAGCTGCCCACAAGGCTACATTGTTTGTTAGGGCCAAATAACAGATACATTAAAAAAAAATAATAAAAGTTACATATATGCTAGAATTATTTCACAAAATCACAGTGTCTACCCACACTTAACACTCACTAATTATGCTGTTAGACTTTAGAGGTGCTGCTAAATATGCAGAGGTTTTAAATATTTGGGCAGATCCGTGTGATCCCAGTCTTTATGTTGTATTACGTATATAGAGAAGCATTAAAAAAACATTTTGGTCACAAAGAAGCTGTAGGTTATATACAGTACTTTGACTTGACGTTTTGAGGAGAGTGCTGTTTGCAAGATTCAAACTGCCAACTTTCTTCCAGGTTTTGAAGAATAGGAGACAATGGGCTGCATTAAAGCTCTGAGTATTGAGTAAAAGGGTGGATGATATTGTCGGTGTGAAGCTATACTCAGTCCATCCGGCCATGCTGGAGTGATAACTTATCAATTAGCACCTGTCACTGTCTCTCTGTCCATCATCATCTTCACACTTATATTGCTATTAGATTTTTTTGTTTCTTCCTCCCCATGTGTCTGAGCTAGAGGAGCACTACAGTAACACGCAATTAATCTCCTATCTGCTCCTCTTTCCTTTTTGCCCTCTCTTGTACATTCCCCTCTCTACAACTACAAATGCTTTGTCCTTCTTCTCATTTATGTATTTTCTCCTCCTTCTCTTCCCACATCCAGATCGAATTAGAATGTCTGGACCCTCGCGGTCGGACTCCTCTCCACCTGGCTGTCACTTTGGGCCACCTGGACTGTGCCAGGGTCCTGCTGCAGCACGGAGCTGATGTTAGCAAGGAGAACCGCAATGGGTGGACTGGTGAGTGTGTGTGACCTGGGAGGAGCTGGAGTTAAAAATGAGATCATGGTGAAGGTGAATGATAGAGATAAAACTGGTATGAATTTCCTTACAGTATCTTTCATTGCAAATATCTGTGAAAGCTACACAGATGTGTACCAGCTTCTCCTGATATTCCAGAATTTATTATAAAAAATTTCACACAATTTGGCCCAGAATTTTGTTATTTTTTTAAGAACTGTTTAGTTTTTATTATTATTTTTTTGTTATTATAAAAATATTAAGTCTATATGAGTTATTTTACATGAGCGCTGGTCTTGTCCTCTTAGTGATCCTGATTGGTTTAGAAAATGCAAAACACTCATGCTGCTGCTTCACCACCTCTTCCACAGAACAACAGTGGCTTCTGCCAGAGATCACCTCTCTGCTGGCACTGTGCAAATGTAGTGTGGAGTGTGGAGTTAGGTCTGGCAATGAGAGACTAATGGAGCATGAAATCAATTCATTTTTTAACCTTGAAAGTATATTGGCTTTGCTGAGGTCCAATATTCCTCATTAATTGTCTTTGGTTTTTCATTTTTATTGTCATTTCCTATTTATTGTCAGTTTGTGTAATGAGGCGATCAACTCTAAGCTTTCTTGTCTTGATAATGGATTAGGTGTTATGAGAATAAGTGAGATGTTAATTTGAGTTTGTTCTGATTACTATGTCGTCTCAGTAGGTTCAGTAGATTACAGTCACCAGTTTTATTATCTCATCATCACAAACTACATGTAGATTGTTTCAGCTGTGTTAGCCTTTACTCATATGTTTGCTAATAGAAAGAGAGAAATAAAACTGTTCTATACAGTAAGTGTAGAACAGCCTGTAAGATTACCAGCCAATTAGCGGTCTGATAAATGATGGGCCTACTTCAGTTTCAGCAGTTCTCACTACCCTCTCCCACCTTAAATGTTCAATTACATCAATTATAGATGAGGCCTGAGTGATTGGCTCTGTTTTACTGTCCCACTCTCCCGCTCTTTTAGTTCTTCAGGAGGCAGTGAGTACCAGAAATCCAGAGTTGGTACGTCTTGTGCTTCGTTACCGTGACTACCAGAGGACTGCCAAGAGACTGGCGGGCATCCCCGTCCTGCTGGAGCGGCTTCGCCAAGTGGGATGTGACACAAACACTTTGATGCGTACATGGAAAAACACACTTCCATGATCACACACAAACACACATTTGTTTTTTTTTGTAGTTGTGAGGACCTTCATAGACACAATGAATTCCTTATCCCCTTACCCTGCCCTTAACCGTAAAACAGATTTTTTACTCTCAAAAAGACCTTTGAAGTCGTGAGGACCAGCCAGTATATCCTCACAGTGATGGGACTAAACTAGAATTTGTCCACACAACCATAAAAATGCATGTACGCGGGCAGCTGCACAAAGGCACATCAGTGGGGTTTATAATTTGCATTTGTTTAAAATGTAGATGAATCTTTTTAATATTTACATCTTTGTTTTAGATCAAAATATCCTCAGTTGTGTTTGAAAGTATTAATAATTTTGCTTACTATTTGACAAGGGAATACACCCAAAGGAAATGTTTCCATGTTGTAAAAGCCTTTGTCTCTGGGTAATATGCATCATCACTATCCTCTAAAGGGTACAAGGTGCCATCCTGTAACAGCACTATAGTTGTGATGGAAAATCGGAGAGGGGAGAGCCTGAAAGTTGATGATTATAATCCTGCCAGAAAAATGTAGAGCTGCAGCAGAACTGTAGAGAGCAGTGGCAAAAATACAGGGAACTGCCTTCACACAGTCTGTCTTCCTGTGTGTTTGCTCCAGCTGGCTCACACACACAAACACAATTACACACACACACCCTCTAGCATACCTACAGTACATGGTAAATACAACACCCTCACACTCAGGCACACATGCACTTCCAAACCTCACACACATCGTGGAGTTCTTCATCTGCCGCTGCTCTTACTCACATCACCCTCCTCCTTGTCCCTCAGTCCATCAGTTCTATTATTAACCCACATATAAAGACAACCACTTGTCTGTGCCAGTCTCTCCATCTTTAGCACAGACAATGAAGCAACATCATTGTATTTGTTTCCTCTTTTCCCTCCACTGTCCCCCTTTCCTTGTCTGTCTAGTCATCTTTTAATTCACCAGTCTCTTTCGGCCCAGCTTTCTCCATCTGTCTTCCTCTTTATTAATGTCGGTTTCTTTCTCATATGTCTTCCTCTCACTCTGTCTCTTCCTTCGCTCCCTGTCCAGGCCCAAGACTTCTATGTGGAGATGAAATGGGAGTTTACCAGCTGGGGTGAGTACAGGCTTTGTGTCATTCCAGCCAGTAAAACAGTCCAGTGCTGACCAGTTAGAGCTAATCATGTTATCCTCTCCCTCTGGGGCTGAAATGGCCTTTTCTCCTGATGTACTGGTCACTGATGCTCACACACTTCCTGCACAGCAGATTGTCTGCCTGGCTTTGGTTTTAAACTAAAGAGCATGTGCATTTTATCTGAAGTGCTTTACAAAGCCACAAGTAGATATATGTAAAACTTGAGTCTCTGTAATGGTTTCTGTGCATACTGTATATTTTTGTCGTTGCATACGTTTGTGCCATCTGAGCAGTGAGCCCAAAAACTGATAACATGAATCATATAAAAACAATAGAATAAAAAAGAGAACTACTGTATGAAAACCTGTAAACATCCATTAGGAAAGACAGTTTGGTTCAATGTGTGTCTGTTTGTGTGTCCTTAGTGCCTCTGGTGTCTCGTATCTGTCCCAGTGACACCTACAGAGTTTGGAAGAGTGGCCAGTGTCTCCGTGTTGACACAACCTTGATGGGCTTTGAACAAATGACGTGGCAGAGAGGAAACCGCAGCTTCATTTTCAGGGGACAAGGTATCTCATTTTCTTTTTACGGTCCAATCTTCTTTCCTGTCTTCTTTCCTCTTCCCATGTGTCTTCTGATTTTCCATTTTCATTTGCATTTAGTCCACTGAAATAACTTCACTTTCAGCATTGAAAAATGATGCATGAGACATCACGGATCTGATGTAGTTATTAAAAAAAATATTGAAAGAAGATTGCATTGCAGTTATTGTTGTGGTAGTGTAATATTGTATAAAAAGAGGTCATGGAACATTTCACTGGAGTACTTTTTACACAGGCCATTCATGTGAATTTACAGGCACAGTCGCACAGGCTTCATCTGAAGTGAATGTGATATGGAGCAAATATTCACAGTTAGTGCAGGTGTGATTGCAGCCTTACTTTCCAGGATGATCCTCCCAGTTTCTCTCTCCCTCTGCCTTTTTCTAGCCTGATTGCAAAGCTCTCTCCACTTAGTCCCAGGCTCCCCTCTACATTATTTCACCCATTTTATCATTTGCTTTTATCTGCCTTCCTCTCACTAACTTAAATGAGCCCTCTTTTTCTGACCTTTCCTCTGACTTTTTAAGTCCATGCATAATGTCCTTCCTCTATGTGTTTTTTTCCCTGTGGAACTGCCTTTGTTATGTCATTTTTTCTAAATATCTGCAGTGCCTGCAGTCTCTCACATCGCCCTCATATTTTTCTTCCTGTCTGTTACGCTTTGCCTCTCAGACTCCAGTGCAGAGGTGATGGAGGTTGACCATGACAGGCAGTTGGTGTTCTGTGAGACCCTGAGTGTCTCATCTCTCACAGCGCTCTCACCAGGTCGCGGGAATGGTGGCGCCTGCAGCAGCACTGCCTCTGGTCTGGGTGTTCTTGGTGCAATACATCCCAGTGACGAGCAGGTTGCAGCTAGGCTGTCGGCCCCAGTGGTGACCACTCAGCTGGACACCCGCAACATCGCCTTTGAAAGGTCAGACCATCAACATCATAGACATGTTTAAAAAAAAAAAAGAAATAAAAAGGATGGTGAGCCATTCTTTTGAACAACTCTATGAAAGGAACAGAGCCATAAGAGCTGACTCTATTCAAAGTGCCACTATTCCCATCACTAGAGTGCTGGTGGTTTTCCTGAGTGGATAAAATTAGCCTATTGTTACTGTTGAATGTCTGTCACTCTTTCTCTGTTGTTGTCTCCTACACCTCAACCCACGGTTGAGTGGAACAAGTTCAGGCAGGTTCTCTGGTGGCTGTCAAAATGCATTGCACAAAATATCAGGTAGCAGCAGTAATGGGGAGAATGTAGAAAACATAATCATGTAAAGCTGACTTTTATAGTACATTTAATGCAAGATATTACTGAAATACTATGAGAGCCAAGGGGAAATGTTTATGCAATGAAAGTGCATTAAACTACAGAGGTTCTTCTAAAACCATGTTTTAGTTTAAAGCAAAATGATGTAGCTTTTGAAAACAGTTGAAATTGCAATGTTGAATTCATAAATAACAAAACACTTTTTCTCAGTTTAAAAACACGGGGGGATTTTGCTGCTACTTTACTGTTGTGTGACCAGATGGCTTTTGTTGTTAAGTTTGGAAAGTGTAGCTGGCTATTGCTATGTAACACAATTTGCTTAGTCGGTTTGCTGAGCTTATGACCCTTCTCTACTTTTGCTACTGTTACACTGTTTTAGCACAACATGTTGCCATACAACAATTTATTACCTTTGTAGCAAATGGCTGTTATGCCAACAATATGCCAGGAGTAATGAATATGTAGATATAATGACGAACAAACCAGCTTCAGACTGCATGAATCAGGATTCACAAAAGCGCAACACTCCAATGCAAGTAAAATGCCCTGGTGAACATGGAGGTGGAGCAGAACACAGTAGAAGAAAAGGACATGAAAGAGGCAGACGAGACATAAACTGACAAGAGAAAAATTGAAAAGAAAGGATGAGAGCAGTAAAGGAAAATGGGATGTGCAAGTGGGTCACGTGGAGTTAATTTGGGAACTTTTCATTATGCTAACGAGGCGGTTCTACAACTCGGTTTCACATAAAGTGACATAGATGCAAAGATGAAATGAAGGGGAAAGGAGGAGAGAAGGGAGGGAGCGCTGGACCAAACAGGGAGATAGAGGAGAAACCTCATCTTATTCTGGGCAGGTGGAGAAATACTGTAGGAGAGAGTGAGGGATGAAAGGACAAAGGAGGTTTTGAACAGAGAGGAATGCAGGAAAGAAAATGATAAAGATGAAAAGAGAGATATAAGAAATTATGGTGAAAGAGATTTAGAAGGAAAAGAATGAGGGAGAGGAACAAAGAGGGGACAAAGAGAGATGAGTGGAAATAGAAAACATGACAAGAGAAACAAGGAGAAAAAGATGAATGGGACACATGACTATGGGGGAAAAGCGAAAGTAGTGGCAGTCAGTGGTTTTGGAGGCAGGAGGAGAAAGAGGCGATAAATAGACTGTGGAGAGACCCGGTGATAGATAGTTCAATCATGGAACGAGACAGCAAGTGAATGTTAACAGTGAAAAGGCTAGAAAATGGAGAGGAGAGCGACAGAGAAAAGTGAGCTGGGAGAGGTGGTGTTTGGAGGTGTAATCATCTCCCTGTCAGACTTGTACCTCAGTGTCACCTCTACGCATTTTGCTTGGTCAGCACTGCTCTTGTCTACATGCCAATAATCCATTTATGATGCTTTCGAGCAAAGCACTTTAGACATCCACCCCTGCGTGATATGTCTTTACAAAGCCATGCAGGAAAAACTACAGGACTGCAGTTTTGTTGTTTTATGGCTGGGCTAGTGAGTACAAAGTTTACGGAACCCTCAGTAATTTAACTGCAGTATAACTTCAAAATTCAGACTCAGATAACTGTGACATTAGATTAGTTGGAGAACAAGACTGAGTCTCTACAGCCAGTAGCAGTAACTCTAATGAAGCTGCCACAGTGGTGCTTTGGGTGAAATGCTAATGTCAGCATGCTAACATTCTGATGTTTAGCGTGTCATTTTTGCCATATTATTTTAGCATATTAGCATGCTAACATTTTGTGATTAGTTCAGTTGAATTGAGACCTTTGGCACCTGCAAAAAATATCTGGTAGTGGGGCCAAATGGGGTAAGTTAGCATGGGGAAAAAATCCCCTAAATCTTTTTTTATAAAATTGTTGTATAATATGTTTTTAAAAAAATTTGATATTATTTCAGAGCTAGTATTACTTAAAAAAACACTCATAATATCTCAAAATCCGCTTTCTGTTGTTTGTTCTGTTGCCTGTTACTTGCAGTCTAATGGTAGATGGCTAATTTTTTTCTCATCAAGGTACTGACATTATGATTCAGGTACACATCTGCAGATTACTTGGGACGGGCAAATAATCTACACCAAACAGGGCCAAGATTACAGAGGACTGATCTAGGATTTGTTGAATCTGTGTTGCAGAAATAAGACGGGTATCCTGGGCTGGAGGAGTGAGAGGACTGAGACGGTGAATGGATATGAGGCCAAGGTAGATCACAGGCTGCTCGCACTGATCACTCACACTGTCTGGGGAAAGCGCTGCTGTCAGAAGCCGATTTCATATTTCCTGAAAGTCCACTTCACTTGAATGGTGTAATTTTCAGAGTGATTCATTCCCAAAGTTATTTTAAAACCATTACATTAAACATTTGAGAACATAGCGGCCTACATTTTTAAACAGTTGCAGATGAATTTCTGAAACCCATCATTTTAAAGTGATTTATCCTTAAATACCACACTTTAGCAGCAACTCTTTACCCTCAGGTTCATGTCAGACCAAGAAGTCTATCTATCATCAACGCATCCGTTACCTTGACCCCACTTGTTTTCTTGATCCCCTGCAGGGATCGATGGGACACAAGCGTCAGACACCCAAGACCATCTGCTATTAGTTTAAAAGCACTTAAGCTAGACTCTACAGTAAAATACAGCAGCCTGAAAAGCATCTGTTTTCTGCATCATTGATTTAGAACTGTAAATGTAAGCAGACAACTCCTGTTAAGCTGCTTTCTTCCTTCTTAGTGCTTCTTTTCTCATCCGTTATAAACTCGGAGTTCGTCACCTGACAAATTTTTAATCACTTTTTTTTTTTACGGTCACTAGTGAGGAGTTCAGGTACTCTAGTATGAACTTGTCATTTGAAGAGGTTTCCCTATATCCTGCAGAGCATAATGGTGGACAGAATTCATGATTTAGTATGCTTATGAATGTAGGACAACATTCTCTACATTTTCTTGTCTGTTAATTACTTTTAGGTGAACATACAGCAGTGGGTTCCCAAACACTAACCCAGTGTCAACAAAAAACAAGAGTGCATTGTCTCCTTGTTTTTCAGGTGTATGCAGCATCCAATGTGGAGCTGATCACCAGGACTCGAACTGACCATCTGTCAGACCAGAACAAGAACAAGACAAAAGGTGAGTCGCTGTGCTGTATTTTGACAACTGTACTTCGGTGCCAAATAAGCATTAGACATCATCTCTTAAACCATCAAGTTGCCCCGAGGTGCAGTTGCATCACAGCTGCAACTGCTGAATTTCTTCATTATCACCTCTGTGCCGCTGTAACTCTCAGCGCTACAACATGTCTGATAAAAGAGCCACCGATGAGTAATCCCTCTCACCTGAGCTCCATGAGCTCACCCAGAGGCTCCGGCTAACAATACGTAATATTCATTTGGTGGCTCCAGCTCGTTTTCTGGTTTAGATCACAAATCAAACAGTTTTAGCAAGCTTCTCTCCCCAGACCGTCGCTGTCGGCCAGGATCAACCATCACACAGTCCTCTGAGAGCTCCACTCTCCCAGGTCACAGTCCCCATCTGGAGGTGTTCTTGGAAGATACACTGACTCCTGAATGAGTGACTCACTCCAATTGCCCTTCTTTTGCATTACCTTTATCATTTTGTTAACACTTTACAAACCACACCCTGGTGCTGCGGACGTTAATAGCAACTGATGGACCTCTGCATTGCTCTTAGCAATCATTCATTTTCGGGTTAGCATGGATGACCATAGTGTCAGTCCTGTTTGAAAATCCACACACGAACATGCTGGTCACATTTTAAATGAGCTACAACTTTACTTGTTCCCAGGTTTCTTCACTGCATTTTCTCAACCAGCTTTTTAGGTGTTTTCTCTGTGCCCTTCTCACTGGTTTGAAGTGGGTGGGACTCAGTTGCAGTAGAAAGTGTAACATACTGTACTTTTGATTGATTAACCAACATTTAGTAACATTTGAATCAGAATCCAGTGACAGATGGTGTTTGGTCATTGCCAATCAAATCTGATCAAACCACAACCACAGTCTTGATTGAGACGATTAGCTGAGTCTTTATTGTGTTAAACACAAAAAATAATACCTAAGATTTTATTTAAACTTTGATTATTGCTTTTTAGACATAAATATTTAATGTTATAGAGAATTACTTAAGATTTTGGGTCAGGTTTTCAAGGAATTAAGATTCAAAGAAGACAGCTTGACACTCTAAAAAGCTAAATAAAGATGAAGAAATCTTAAGATGATCACTTGTCATTTTCAGATCACAGGTTATCATCATATAATGGATACAGTTTAATGGTGACATCAACTTATAGTTTTCCTGTGCATGTAGTAAAAAAATTGACTGTGCTACATTAGGCTTTTAAATGCTGAGCTGACTCAGGCATTACAGTTTTAAAATGGATTACAGTTTGAGTGTAGCTGTAGAAAGAGAATATTGGGAATCCACATGTACAATGAAATGTATACCAGGAAATACTTTTACTGACTATTTAAAATGATATTTAAATGAAAACGTCTAGGTGATAAAGCTTCTCAGTTTACCACTGCATAAAAACCCAGTTCACTTTAATTTGATGAATTTTTAAGTACAGAGTTCCTTTCAGCTGACTTTGTAGCAGATCATAACACAACACAAAAGTGTGATGTAGTGCAATAAGTTATCTTGAGCAAAACACAGTAGAGGAATATGACACCACGGACAGCTGTAGTGTCCGTTGCATTGTGACTGTGTAACAGCGTTCTCTCAGTCTAACTCATCACCGCCGTGTGTCTCTGAGCAGGTGGCAAGACTCCACTGCAGAACTTCCTCGGGATTGCTGAGCAACACATGGGGCCTAACAACGGGGTGAGTGTCCAGTCCGCTTAAAAGTGGCCAGTTGTGTGGCTTTTTTGTACAGTCTGTCATCTTTAAAGAGATTCATTTTGTTCAGTAGGATGAGAAAATGTCATGAAACAGGTTTTCCCCTGAAAACGGGGGTATATATGATATGTTTCATGGCAGATGTTATGACTAGACTTTACAGGTTTTTATAGACTTCATTATAATCGCTTTGTGAATAGTAATCATAATAACCAGCCCTGTGACCACTGCCCTCGTGAATGAATCATCTTCAGTATTCACATCATCGCCACCACCTCCCCTCATTAGACTGAGAGGGAGTGCCTGAATCCTGGCTGCTGAGTCCACTGTGTCTGCAAGCCTACAAAGTTGAAAGAACTACTCAGAAGCTTGAACCTTTTTTAATGTGTTTCTGCTGGAGAACATCTATGACTCATACCTGCCTCCTTCACCTCTTTCTGTATTCTGCCTTTTCACTAGCTCCCCCTCACTGTCACCTCTGCTCTTTTCAACTCTCTATGCTTCTCTGTCTTTTCACTCCATGCTGCTATTTGCTCAGCAGAGGCTTTTCTCAGTTCAGTGTTTTGTGCAGCGGCAAAGCTTGCATGTTTGGTTTCAATTTTGCCAAGCTTTAAAATTTAAGGGGCACTGACTGTGATTATTAATTGCAAACAGAAGGAAATGAAACAACATGGGTAGAGCTTTCTCCTTTGCAGCCTGTGGTGGCCTACCTTTGACAGAAGTCACACTCAGGAGATGATACGTGAGCTGCTAATTGATGCAGTGAACCAGCCAATGCATCTCCAGTAATGTTATAAAATGCTGGAATTAAAAACATGTTTTGTAATTTGTTCTCAGGTTTGGGCTTGAGAGCAAAGCCTTCTCTTTCATTGTGCAGTAAAAAATGTCAGGTTAGAAAAAAGCCTTCAATCCTATGGGTGGTGAGTTTTTGATACACAGCAGAAAAAACAGAACATTTATTTTAAAACCCACAACAAGGGGGTTGTGGGTTGTAGGTCATTTGACCCTGTCAGACTTTATTGTGATGAGTACAAGTTTTATTGTTTATAAAATGGTGACATGGGGTTATATGAGGTTTTTATGCCTCTGTGCCAGAGATAGCTGCAGCCATTATAATTTTTGGGTTGTCCATCTGTCCATATGTCTGAACGGCTGTACATCCATAGGATTCTTGTGAATGCAATATGTCAGGAACACTTTCGGGGAATTTCATCAAATATGGCACCAGTGTCCTCTCGGACTCAAAGATGAACTGATTAGATTTTGGTCTTCTGACACATACCCATGAATTTGACTTGTGTTTGAGGCATACAACCATGGAGCACTAATTCTAGTTATTCATTATTTACTGCAGGCTCTGGTGACCCAGATGTCAAGTCCTGTGGTGACCAACCCCTCAGCGCTGACGGCTGAAGAATACTTCAACCCCAGCTCATCACCAACTCAGAGGGACATTGGCCACCCGTGCCACCTCACCACCAAGACCCAGAGGTGACAGAGAGTGACAGAAAAACAGACAGGCAGCCATGCATACAGTGAACTCACCCTCCAGACTCACTTCAGAGATGACAAAGTGATGGACAGAGAACATGCAGGAACACACACACACACACACACACACACACACATATGCAGGCAGAGTAAAATGAGCTGCCCATGACAGATGGCCACCAAGGTCCTGAGGTGAGAAGCGCACAATTAACAGAGGGAGAAACATACATGCATACATTAGGAGAGGATTTTTACAAAGCTTGTGAAGAGTCAAGCAACTACACAGTCTGTCTTTTGTAGTCCATCACACAGCTCTGGCTTGGCTGAAAAAAATGAACTTAAAGAGGGACTTAAAACTGCCTGATTTCAACACCCTGCCCATTAATCACATTGTCAGGTTGAGCCTATGGTTATTCAGCTATTTTGGGTTATAATAAGAAATGGCAGAACATATGAGGAGGAAGTCTCCATCCTGTTCATTGTCAGACAAGTTAAAATGTTTAAGCACTGACTGGCATCAGTTTGAACACTACTCAGCCGTGTGTGGAAAGTCTTTGTTAGCCGACGTAATCAATGTCTTTTTGTATCTCTGGCCAAAGAGCTAATCACTTGAACGACGGCATAAATTGCTTCATATATACTTAAGTAAGATTTGCATTTACAGTAGCCATCAACACACATTGACACACCCTACCTTGTGTTCATTGAGTGTGTGCTTTTGTTTCTAGGTTTAAAGCCAAGTTGTGGTTGTGCGAATCCCATCCATTGTCCCTGGCAGAGCAAGTGGTGCCTATCATCGATCTCATGGCGATCTCGAACGCCTTGTTCGCTAAGCTGCGGGACTTCATCACTCTGCGCCTGCCGCCTGGCTTCCCTATCAAAATTGGTGAGCAACTGGGAGATAGATATGGATAGAAGGATAATAAGTTAAAACAGTGACTGGTTAAATTAAGGGAATGATGGGAGAATGAAAAGTGAATAAACTTATATAGAGACAGGTGGAAAGAAACAGAGCAAGAAACTGAGTGAAAAGGACAGAAAAATAGCACATTAGATCACCAAAAATAAGAGTTGATATAAGAACATGTACGGTTACTAAATATGTCGTATGCTGTTTCTCTCCACTCTCTACAGAAATCCCTCTCTACCACATCCTGAACGCCAGGATCACCTTCAGCAACCTGAATGGCTGTGAAGAGGGTACAGGTGTCCGTGCTGACAACGAAGTGGGAGTGGATGAAGACGCACCAAGGGACACCCGGAGAACAGACACCCCATCTCCAGGCAGCGACTCCTCCAGCGTGTCCAGCTCCAGCTCCACCAGTGAGAACGCACTCCACACACGCCACAGTGCTGCCTGTTGTATTATGTCATCATTTCTTACATCTACTTCTGTCTTCAGCAGATGGTTAGTCTTAGCTGTAGAGCTTAATATTTTTTACAAGGTGTTTTATAGATCTTCACCAATCTTCTACTGCACAAGCTCAGCCATACATCAGTACATAAACAGGGTTTACAGTTGCATGATGGAGTTATGAGCAGAATTTACCACTAGCCTTGAATACAAGGTTATGTTCTTTGAGTGAGATTACAGCTTACTTTCATCATCCTATCACTTGATCAGGACCCCAGCATCCACTCTTTATTCTGCAGCCATGCGGAGGAAAAATACAATTTATTGTGGGACTGCTCAGAGGCAACCTCTCTGGAAATCCTTGATGTTATCTTGCAGAAATGCTCTACCTTGAGTTATATACACATAGATGAGCAGTGGAAATATTTTGCCAGTATTGCTATGGAGGGGAAAGTACTTTACTTGTAACAGCTTCTTTTATTGTGGATCTTTCTTTCTTTCACTTAAAAATGACTGTCCTTTTCCTTTTCCACACTTCTCCTTTAGTGTGGTGGAGTCTCCTTTATTGTTAGATAAGCTTCTTGCCCTTTCCTTTCCCCCTGTGAGCTGCAGTGTCGTGTCGAGCTGGAGAGATTCCCCCATGTGTGTTTGAGCCCCCGCCTGGATACACCATGCTCGGAGGCAAACAAAGAGACAGTATGAGGGAGGAGGAGGAGGACCTGCTGCAGTTTGCCATACAGCAGAGTCTGCTGGAGGCTGGGTCTGAATACGATCAGGTGGGCTGAGTGTGATGCTTCTGAGGGGTAATAGGCTTTAAAGAAACAGCAAGTCAGACATCTTAAAACAAGACTTTGTTTAATTGATTGTTTGCTAAGCCCCCACCCTCTTATTTACTGTTGCTGTACCTACCTGTCAAACTTTAAATTCTCATGTGGCACTAGCCCCAGTTTGAATACACTCATCCACTGTGAAGGTATTTCCAGAATCCTCATAGACTCCTCCAACAACTCGGAATCAAAAATGATCCCGTCCGGTTCAGGAAAAATATCATGTTAATTAGTTTCTCGAGTATGGTCATTTGGTCTCATATTTACTGTACAAAGGTGGCAAAAGGAAATGATGCAAAGTCAAGCCCAGAGCCCTTAAAGGATCAGGCTGATCAATTTCTATATAACAGTATTTTCAATATATCCCATACAGACTGAAATTGACAATGAATTGCCTCTACCCATGGTTAATGTTCATCAGTCTGTCATTCCTGGATCAGCTTTTTCATCTGTGCCATAGATCTCTGTTGTTGTTCATGTGCGGTTGACCCTGACTGCATGTGAAATTATGGCACTTGGAGACATTGAGGCAACATAGTCGGGTCTGATGTTTCACAATGAAAAACATGCCACCTAGTGCAGTGGTGTGTTTCACTGATGTTTTTAATTGTTTTTGAACAACAACAGAGATCTAACAACGAACAAACAAGCTAATCCAGGACTGACAGCTGACAGACATTAACCGCGAGTGGAGGCAATTCACTGTCGGTTTTATTCGCTGTATGGAGATTGCTGATAATATTATTAATACAGAAAATTGGCTGGCCTTTTCATTTAAGAAAATCCACACTGGTCGAATCGACTTTAACATAAAGCGTGACAGACAATGTTCTGGAAATATCTTCAGGATTTGGATGAGTGTGTGTTGTCAAACGACTCCCTGAGTTTAGAAACGGTAACCACGTATGAATTCTTGGGGTTAGCAGAAGAGTTAGCTTGTCGATCTTTGATTGGGTTGAATATTTTAGTTCTTGCACTTGTACATGAATAAATGCCTCTTACAGTGCCTTGCGAAAGTATTCGGCCCTCTTGAACTTTGCGACCTTTTGCCACATTTCATGCTTCAAACATAAAGATGTAAAACTGTAATTTTTTGTGAAGAATCAACAACAAGTGGGACACAATCATGAAGTGGAACGAAATGTATTGGATATTTCAAACTTTTTTAACAAATAAAAAACTGAAAAATTGGGCGTGCAAAATTATTCAGCCCCCTTAAGTTAATACTTTGTAGCGCCACCTTTTGCTGCGATTACAGCTGTAAGTCGCTTGGGGTATGTCTCTATCAGTTTTGCACATCGAGAGACTGAAATTTTTGCCCATTCCTCCTTGCAAAACAGCTCGAGCTCAGTGAGGTTGGATAGAGAGCGTTTGTGAACAGCAGTTTTCAGTTCTTTCCACAGATTCTCGATTGGATTCAGGTCTGGACTTTGACTTGGCCATTCTAACACCTGGATATGTTTATTTGTATTTATTAGTCATTTAGGTCAACATTGGATCATTCAGAGATCCTCACTGAACTTCTGGAGAGAGTTTGCTGCACTGAAAGTAAAGGGGCTGAATAATTTTGCACGCCCAATTTTTCAGTTTTTTATTTGTTAAAAAAGTTTGAAATATCCAATAAATTTCGTTCCACTTCATGATTGTGTCCCACTTGTTGTTGATTCTTCACAAAAAAATTACAGTTTTATATCTTTATGTTTGAAGCCTGAAATGTGGCAAAAGGTCACAAAGTTCAAGGGGGCCGAATACTTTCGCAAGGCACTGTAAATACCTGGATGCAATCAAATTTCCTTCAGTTACAGACAAGACTGAAGTTATTGCTTTTGGTAGCAAGAACGAAAGGACCGAAGTTATTGATCAGCTTGATTGTAGAACTATGAAGACAAAAACTCAAGTTACAAATCTTGGTGTCATAATTGACTCAGACCTGAACTTCACCAGTCACATCAAGGCCACAACTAAATCAGCTTTTCATCATCTCGAACAAATAGTACAACTCTGAGGTCTCATGTCCTGAGAAACTCACTGATGCTATCGTCTCCAACAGGCTGGACTGTTGTAATGGTCTTTTGTCTAGCCTTCCCCAAAAGACTGTTAGACAACTTCAGCTCGTTCAGAGAGTTTGAACCAGAACCAGGAGAATTGAGCAAATCACTCCTGTTCTTAAATCTTTACACTGGCTCCCAGTTACATTTCAGTCTCTCGATGTGCAAAACTGATAGAGACATACCCCAAGTGACTTACAGCTGTAATCGCAGCAAAAGGTGGCGCTACAAAGTATTAACTTAAGGGGGCTGAATAATTTTGCACGCCCAATTTTTCAGTTTTTTATTTGTTAAAAAAGTTTGAAATATCCAATAAATTTCGTTCCACTTCATGATTGTGTCCCACTTGTTGTTGATTCTTCACAAAAAATTACAGTTTTATATCTTTATGTTTGAAGCATGAAATGTGGCAAAAGGTCACAAAGTTCAAGGGGGCCGAATACTTTCGCAAGGCACTGTATCTCCTTGTTAATAAGCCCAGATTGCAAATATTTCATATTAAGTTTTTTTTTAGGATTCAAGATGATAAAAGTTGTTGCCATAATAATCAAGGTGTGCGATATTTCCCCTATGAAATACCCAGTACAAATTATAGCAATAAATTCACCAACAAATCAAGCAAGATCAAATGAAGAAACAGACAGAATTGTGAAAAGGCAACTAGTTTAAAATAAAAACAGTCATTACTGAAGTAACATCAATAAGTAGAATACATTGCCTGTGATATGTGGAGCCCAGACCCAGTATAGTCAACACTTCCTCAGTATAGTGCTATTTTGAAATCCCACAGATCTTGGCCTTCTTCCAGAGGTGCAGAGAGAGAAGTATAAATAGACTCAAGTCAGAGTTTTCTTAGCTGAGATACAGGAGCAGAATGTAGAGGAGACAGGCACAAGGTCACAGCTGTGGCTTTGTGCTGTAGGTTGTGCAGTCATCTCCAACAGCCTGCTGTCCTGAACTGTCGTACTGCTGCTTCAGACAGTGATGAAAGAGGTGATGTCGTGTTTAATTACAGCACTACATCTGTAGCAGGACGGGTGTTAAAGTACCATTCTGCTGACTGTACTTGTTTTATATGTGCCTTACCTCAACTAAACTTTAAGGTTCTCTAACTAGGAACTGGATAAAAGGAAGTAACAGGACCAGATTAATTTACAACCGGGCTCACTGGCAAAAAATGAGCTAGCTGCCGGCCTACAGTGAGTCCCTATACATGTGTCTCCCAGCCTAGTTTGTCCCAGAAACCAACACTGGAATCTTACCCTGGCAGATCATTTTTGATTATTTGATTAAATGGATAATTGTTGAAGGGTTGACACTCTTAAATCTAGGCCCTTCAAGAGATGTCAATGGTCAAAAGGCTGTCATCAGCAGAATTTACAGACCCTGTAATTCTACAGACATAAAGAGACTAACAGGTTATTGGCAAAGACCAATCAGAAGAGGAGAAGCCAGGAACAAAAGTGGTTCCACACGAACTTATCAGCTACCTCGGTCTGATCACACAGCCTGCATAAAGAGCAGAATATTAACACTGACAGAACACTCAAGTGTTTGTGTACACACACTCTGCCAGTGTTCACAAACTGTGTTGGCTTTAGTTTTTAAAAATGTCACCTTATCAGTATTAATAGCAGTGTCAGAAGCATTAATGTTTGTGTATGAGTTAGTACTTGAGCCTACATTAACATCTGTAGGGAGGATGCTGTTGTCCCAGACACCCCACTGCTGTCTCTGCTTGTCCATCTGCTTTTATGCATAGACTCTCCACTTCCTGTCCTCAGTCTCTGACTTCCTGTGTGGCCTTTCTTCGTGTGTAGGTGACCATCTGGGAGGCACTGACCAACAGCAAGCCAGGAACGCACCCCCTACCCTGTGACCCAAGTCGTGTGGAGAGGTCACACTTTAAAATATCTTCTTTTATGAATGTTCATCAGTCTTCTTCTGCTGTGTTTAGTTTTTTCACCCATCCTGTTCTGTAAATTATGTTCTTATTCAAGTCCAACCCCTTTATCGTGGAATGAACCCAGATGGTAAAATTGGAAGCAATCTGCTAAAAATCAATTGGACTTTTATTTTTAGCTGGAGTCCTCAAAAAAAAAATCATAAATCTCTATGACTGTCAGGACAATGGTAATATATCCTGCCTGTCTCTGACTTCTGTTATGTTGTGTTATTCCTCTGTCTTGCACTCTTCCGTTGTATTTTTTCCATCCTGCAGTTCTTCCCTTCCATCCCCAACTCACATCCTGTATTCAAGTCCTGTCTTTCTCTATTCTATTCTTCTGTCCATCCTGCTATTCTCCTCTCTTCTCCTATAAAGAAAGGGGGTGGTGGGATGGGGCTTTGAAGGATGAGCTAGTTTCCTGCTTTCAGTCGACAATGCTGCTGTTGACTTTAGCCTGTTATCTTCAGACAGTGTTTTCTCTCTCTGTCTTCCCTATTTGTAGATGATTGGATGGACACACAAACTCTTTTCTGACACAATCTCAAAATTGCAGTGTTTAATTAAACTATCTGTGCATATTCTCAGTCATCCAGGTCATAGTAAGCTGAAAAAACGTAGAAAGAGGCTTCATCAGTTCTGCCTGCCTGGCATTGAGCCGGAGATATTTATCACCATCAGCGGTGTTTCAGTCGTTTGATGGCCAACAATGTCCCCTAACAACTGAGTCGTTATAGCCCAGTATCAGTGAGCGTTATTACCTGTCTTTGAATCCTCACCTGTGGGCCGACGCCTACTGTCTTGGTGGGTATGTTTGGGCAGAGATCTCAAAACAGAGTTGTTGTTTTTTTTCTACATTTTAGAAGAAGAAGAAGCTTTATTTTATTGGCACTGTAACATTGTGACATATACAATGAAATTTTGTTTGCAGCCGAGGGGCCCTGGGCCGCTGCGTGCATACGTGCCACCATCATCATCATCATCTTAATTAAACCACAGTTTTGTTCAGAGGAAACTGGGTGCTGGAAACACTGCAGACAGTATACCTATAATATACTACTGCTTATAGTATTCTAAAATCTTACAAACATTTTTGTGTTCTTTGAGTCATGTAAGAGGTAAAAAAAAAAAAAAAAGGGCAAATGCATTCTTGGCTATTTTAACTGAATAAAAAATTTAAAAACAAATAGTTTTTAATTGTTCTCAGAGAGTCTTAACAAACCTAAAAAATCCTTTAAATTATAAAAATCATCCACGTGTGAAAATGTGTATTTTACATTACCCAGTAATAATATACTGTGTGGTTGTTGTCCCCATTTTGCTCTTTAAACTTCAAACTTCAGTTTTGTTTCCCAGTAGGCACCAAGTAGTTACAAAATTACTTTGATTTATTTCTCCTTTCCTCTATAATGTCCAGTAGTTACTCCCTTACTTCCCACACACCAACATTTTAGTACCAGCACAAAACATTATGATTTTTTTTTGGCACCTGGTTCATAGAATAAAATTACACTGTAAATCACAGGCTGTATTATAAAGTGTTAGTCGTATCTGTCCATCTATCATATAGTCTCCTCAGTGTTACTGTAATGTCTTTATAGTTGGGTTTGGCCCTAATATACTATTGGGCTCTTGTGCCAGTTCTACAGCTACAAATGTAAATTAAGTCATAGCTAAACTATTATAGGTTTGTCACTTTCTAATAAGCCAACAGCATTAGTCATCAGCAACTATAAACATTAGGTCATTAATAAAGGCTTGTTTTGACAATGAATCAAGTCTGCAGTTGTAAATAAAGTTAATAAACACATTTAGGTCCAGCTGCTCTTGTTTAGAACAGGCTGAACAACCATAAAGGCCCTATAGAGAAAAAACATTAAAGCCCCAAATTTGTTTTTATTAATTAACCAATATTAATGAATTATAAACCTTTACAAATGTGTGCTTTATAAGATGCTAGCATAAAAGTTAATCTAATGGAAATAGTAATAATAATAATAATAATATAACCCTAAATTACAGCTCTGTAGGGTCAGCAATGTGTCCACAAAATAATGCACATTCAGTTATAGAGCAGACGCTTCAATCTGTGTTCTTCGTTCCCTCATTGTTTCTCACCCAAGGACCCCGCAGCACAAGCCCCGCACCACATCTAGCCTCAGCTCCACCCCCTCCAAAAAGCAGTCCAACACCTGCAGCTATGATGAGCAGCTACGCATTGCCATGGAGATCTCAGCCCGAGAGCAGGAAGAGGCAGAGCTTCAGCGGCGGCGGGAGGAGGAGGAGCTACAGCGTATCATCCAGCTGTCACTTATGGAGAAATGAGAACTGAGTGGCCCAGCAGGGGCTGTGAGGGGAACGGTCTGGACCAAGGACACATGGGAGAAAAGGGCAGTACAGGCTACCTTAAAACTTTAAGCACACTTTGTAAGTGGCTGGAAATTAAGACTAAAATCACCTTAGTGGTTTCATTGAATCTAAACACTCCTTTCTCTCCCATCGCCTTAGCCAGACCTCTCCCGTGAAACCATACGGTGATGCAGCTGTCCGGCTTCAGACGGCCACAGAGGGACGCCAGTTTCCTCTGTCTGGTGCCACATGGTACTTTTCTTGACCAGCGCCAGTTTACAACCAACAATACATCCAGTAAAACAAGTTTAGAATGCCTCCTTGAATGAGTGATATCTGTTTGCAGGTGTGTACTATATGTGTGTGTTTGTTTCAAAACCAGCTCTCTACACAGCCGACAATAGATGATCCTCTGTCCTGAAAATGCAGTGCGTTATGCCAACTCTTTGCTCCAGCACTAACACACACACTCACTGAGTCCTTTTGTTGCTGAGTTGTGTGGTTTCCAGTCTTATGTGTGATTGTGTGCAAGGGAGCAGTGGCGAGTCAGGACCGGCGGTGCGGAGAATACTGTAACTGTCTTCATTAAAGGTTGGTCAAGTTGAGCTGAATGTCAACAAACCATCTGACTTAATCAGTTTTTAAGGAAAACAGTTTAGAAAAAAGAAAAAAAAAACTGACCGGTACTTTTCTTTTTTGATTTGCACAAAATCCCGATGTACTGTATTTAGCTTGTAGGTGGATCACATATATGACTGTTAATGGATATAGATGATGAGTTTGAGCACAAAGTAAAACTCAGGCCAGCTCTAGTTTCAGCCTGATATTAGACATGCAGGAGCACAGATGTATGAGGATACCAGATGAACACTTTGTGCGCTAACTATACTGTACATGACTGTGAATGAGTGTGTTTCAGGCCTGTGTGTAATACAAACAATAAAGGGACAGTGAGTGGATTGTGGAATAGAAACGTTACTGAACGAGAAATTTCTGTATATTCATATTACAGTACATGAGCAGATGGTTTCTGTATTTCTGTGTAGTCACAGTAAAGTCTGTGTGCAATATTTCAGCATGGCCTGTGCCCGTCTGAGGTTCATTTTGTTCAACTTGAGTCTAGCCTGAAGACCTGCAATATCAGAGGATGCTCTCTGAGGGGAAATGTACCCTGGAGGAATCACTTTAGAGGCTATTGACAGCAGTTTTTGGTTTTATTGCACCCTAATCACAAGTTAGCTCCTCAACACAGCATGCTGAAAACAAAAGCAAGTGTAAAATTGCCCCCAAAGCATCAAATGGGCACATTCGCTTCTTGGATTGGGAAAATTGTTCAAGTGCTATTTCTTGCAATTGTAAGTAACTTAATATTGCAGGGCTCAAGGCTAGCCAAATGCTGACAAACATGTTTTGTTGCAAGGGATGTGGAGGACAGGGACAGTTTTTTTTCTTTCTTTGAAAGAAACTTCCACACACCAATATCAGCACAAACTGAGGAGAACCACCTCTCTCTCCTCGGTAATTCATAGTTCAGCTTGCTTAGTTGATGAGGAAAAATATTCATTTTTTTACTTTTTAAAAAAATGATTCAGAGAAGAGCTACAGCCAGATGTTTTCATGCCGTGTGCTTGTAAGTGAATTCAGATGATGATTCAAATAAAGGAACATCTTTGGAACAGCAATGTACAAGTGGGTTATTTTTAATCCTTTTTCTAATTACAGACAGCTTTACATCCCTTGGCCCCACCCCCAACTCTAAGTTAGTTTTTTTGGTCCTCTCCAGTGAAGGACAGGGACTAAAGCACTTAATTTATCTCGAGGAATCAGCAGCATCAGTCTGTACAAGGCAGAGCTGATCTCTTTTTAGCAGCTTTCACTTCTGTCATCCTCCCTGTGACATGGATTCCCAGTCCCTCAGCCGGATCCAGGGGGGGTTGCCTGTACTTATTTTAGGCTTGACAGGGATGAAAATGACAGTTTAGACTCTAACATTCACAGCACTAAGGCTGCTTTCTGTGCTTTGGTGGTGGGTGAGAGAGAATAGGACAAATGAAATAATTTCTATGTGAATCATCTGCATGTAGCTGCAACTTCCCCTCCTGCCCTGACTCAGCCTAAATAACATTAGGATGGTGGAAGCACTGGGCTGCAGACGTGTGTGAAATTAATTAGTAAAGAGCCGCAGACATAAAGCAAGGTGTGTGTCTGTCAAAGAAAGAAAGGAGCAGAGAGCATCAGTATGCAAAGAGGAAGGATGCCAATCACAGCCCTTGCACATGGGGAAACTTTTGCCCCAGTCCTCTCTCTTCTCCACTGAATTTATTCCTCATGCACTGTTTCAATGATTTCCTTATTCATGACAGTTAAATTTGGGACACACACTGTATAAAAAAGTTCTTTAACCCATTAGCCATGTCAAGTGGATTTAACTAGTGCACTCATCAAAGGATCTTAGCTTTCCTATTGATCCACTTCAACCAACAAAGAGCTTTTAAGATTCTTACACTCAAATGTAGAAAATGAGAAAATATGATGTTTACTAGTTTCGTGTCTCTTTATTGCCTACAATCTTTTTCAGTCTGGTTTAATGTCATTCTTTCCCAGTCAGTGCTGCTTGCTGATTTGTGTGTCTCCCAGCAGGGGCCTCAGTGGCCTACATTTCAGTGTTTAATTACCCACATGAAACAGTAGGTAAAATGTCAGCCCAAAATAAGCTACACTGAACTCTGATGCAGATCATTCCCCCTTGAGATGGGAACTGACTTGTTCAAAGCATTAGTTACCTGTAGTTAAATGTTATATGTTTATCTTTGAATATTATGAATAGGTTTACTTTTGATTAATTCTTGTTTGTTGGAGCTAAGTCAAAGACAATTCAGATGAATTTGATCAGCACATATTGATCTAATGAGAATGAGGTACTAAAAACTAAACTCTATTGCGCATGCTCAACGCCCCCGGGAAAGTCAAAGGGTCAAAAGATGGAGATTCATGAACATACACCGATAATAAACTCCAGAAGAAGAAAATGACACACTTGCACCAATGTCTAATCGTTTGACAACAAGGGTAAGCAATAAGGCTACAAGTTTGTAATTAATACTGTAGCATTAGTAAAAGTTAGTTAATAGACACGTTTGACATAGTTGTTGTAGGTGTTAGTTTTCTTTATTTAGCTTAAAGTATGTGTCCTGTCAAAGCCCCCCCCACCCCACCCCCAATGTGCAGCCCCGACCCAATATGTTTCACCTTTACCTTAACCTAAATTTAACTGTATTCCTAACGCAAACCAGTCGTTTGAGATAATTAACATAACCTATCCCCCTGTTTTTCTGCTAACATTATAGCCGAACTAATGTTAGCCGTAAGTTAGCCCTAAGCTGAAAGGTAAAGGGAGACGAAAAGAACACACACCTGTGGACACAACTGTTTTGCAACTTTCTTAAAGGGAAGTTGCTTAAATACATGTTTATTTAGCCCCTGATGAATAAAACCAGAGAACTGGAGGAGGGTGCACTGCTGCTCTTTGGGAACTGAAGGACAGGAAATTTTTCATTACCAAAGCTAAGTGTTAATTAGCTACCTAACGCTGATCCATGGGTCGTTAGTTGTAGTCAGTGTCCTGGGGCAAGGCAGTAATATTTTGGTCATTTGAACATTATTTTCCAGTGTCTGTCCGGCAGTCCTTAGCAAACCTAGTAAAGGTAGCTACCTTTAGCCTAGGCTAGCTAAGTGGCTGGCAGCACAGCACTATGGTAAGCCACTGAGCTCAGCGGGCGTGCTAAAAACATGTTGTCTTCAAATATCCCTGAACAGCGGATTTTTCCCTCTCTGTCGCCAAATGACCGGTTCAGGTTAATGTAATGCTGCCATTAATTAGTGGGGCAACTTTTATAGTACTATCGCACACAATACCCGATACTGGTATCGGTGCATCCCTATGTGAAATCATACAGGAGAGAAGCCAGTCGGTTGAGTTTGAGGCAAAACCTTTTACAGTACTTGCATATTGTCATATGATAATTTATACTCGGTAGAACTGAAATGACATTCACTACAAGCTGATGAGTTAAAACACCTGCATTGTTTTGCATTTTGTGGCTTTCGGTTGAATAAGACTTTTTCAAGTGATATATTTCGTCATTTAACATTTCTTAAACTTAATGTTAAAATATCGTCTCGTTCTCTTGAACTGAATATCCTGTATCATCTTGTCTTGTGAGCCAAGTGTATCGTCACCCCCCAGTATATATCGTCCAGCAGAATATGCCACATTCCTATCGTTGTCAGATCAATTGATAGTTTTGTTGGACCACAGAGAAACACTGATTATTCAGTGGCGTTACAGAGTGATGCCTCTTTACTTCATAAACGATCTTCGGCTAACAGCAGACAGAGGTGTTGTCTGTTTCTGCACCGGCTACAGCGAGGTCACAAACCCCACAGCAGCCAGTTTAATTTTGTCCTCTTATTAATTTAATGGTAGTTAGCGACAACTGACACGACCCCGCTGTTTGTCATTTTAACCAGAAACGGCAACGATCATCAGAAGCTGCTCCCTGAGCCATGTCAGCCATTGGTCTGATTCCTGTCACCTGTCAGTGAGGGATGATGGCATCCTCCCATCAACCCCATCCCTCCCTGGGACCTGTACCACAGAGTGAGTTCAACCTCAACAAGTGAATGTGATCTGGATGTTACTCAAAAAGTGAGGTTTCCTCTCACTGTCCTGCATCAATAAAGTTTAAAAAGTATTTTTTTATTATTCTGTTTTACTAATTTGATAATTTCATTGTGCAAATTTCTTACATGTGATTATTGGATATACCTATATGTAGCATGATTATTTTAAAAAGAAGTTGCATGTACATGTGTTCTGCTGTAGGAAGGGCATTGTTTTTTCTTTGTGGAGGTCTTAAAAAGATTTAAAAATAATCTCAAAGTGTGTGTGGTCACCCAGATTAGAAGGAACATTGCTAGTTCCATTACTGAATTACATAATATACTGAAGATCAAACAGCTTTCTCTGGGAGTTTGGTAACACTTTATTTTACATATCTGCTATTTCCAAATAACTTCTCAAGTTTCCTGTAAAGAACCAAGTAGTTTGGTACCAATTACAGGCAAAAAAAAGTTCTGAAACTGAGTTTGCTTTTCTTTTTAGTCTACTGAGTTGTTTATTATTGGCTTTCAGCTCTATTTGCATGAAAAATAGCTTAATTTAAACCTCACTTAATCTTTGAATTTCATTTATTTATTATTTAAAATGCCATTCTTCATTTATGCTGAATTGTGTGGTTGTTTGTACACAGACTTCACACTTTGCATGTGTTGTTCACCTTCTGCCCTCTGAATAAAAACCTCAGGTTTGTGCTAGCTTAGCATTTAGAAATAACTAGAAGTGTACCAAAGGCTCACTCTCTATTTTTACCTTTTAATTATATGTTGTTTTCCAAAAAACATCTTAGGAAATTATTTGGAAATAAAATAAAATTTACAGACCTGTAAAATAAAGTGTTAGAAACTTTTAGAGCAAACACTGGATGAAAATAACATAACTAGGATAAGCTTAAGAAACACTAGACATAATAAGTATTAGGACAGGATTATTATTATTAAATGAGTATATTTTGCTCTTTTGACAATGGACAAGCTATTGCGAATATAAATCACATGGAGTTGAAAGTAGTCCATTGTCAGACTGTTTCTGCTGCCAGAGAGGAACCGGAGTACGATAAATGTCTGAGGTCAGTCTGACTGAAATGTTGCATTCAGTCATGGGAAATGTTTAATAGGGTTTTTTCAACATAGGAACCTACCAAAACGTGTCAGACTGTGTAACACGTGTCCTGGCTTCTGTGTTTATTTCCACTGCTATCCACCCGCTCTGGAGATGCATTATGGGAACTAAATTTCAGCAACCCTCAGGAGGTAGTACTATAATCAAGTTCTAGGAATTTGAAGGGGGCGGGGATGGGTGCTTGTAGAGCAGTCGCCTGTGATTGGTAAAATGTCAGCATCTACATTAATGAGTTATTAGCATTACAAGCACAGTGTGTAAACACACACTCAGTGGCTTAGAGGTTTAGAGATTGAGGACATGTTGGTTTAGAGGTAAAACGGGGGACATCAAATTCCTGCAAGTTTGTGTTCTGCTTGTTCAACAGCAGTTTGATAACCTGCTCACACAGTCTCTGTTACTGCCAGATTTTGTTGCACTAAGGAGCACTGACTTGTGTACTCTGCTTAGTTGTGTGTGTGTGTGTGTGTGTGTGTGAGTGAGAGTCTGTGTGAAGCACAGCTTCGCCCTCATCTAAGCAGAGACCGACGCAGAGATAAAGAGTGGATAACCAAAGCAGCACAGTCTACGTCAGCCCCTGCAGTTATGCCAGGTGATGGTTATGGGAAGCACTGCGTGTACTGCTTGTAGGTTTCGACACTGGAAACAGCTTTGTGTGTGTGTCGATTATGTTATTTATAAAGATAACAGATGATTACATTTTGTAATCATCCTCCATGTTATGGTCACTTGTTCTTCATTAGCCGTTGAGTGTGAGTAAATGTGGGTTCTCCAGAATGGATATTTCAGTAAATTGTGGTCTTGCTTCCTGTTTCCTCACATTGTATTTCTTCTTCCTGTGCTCTTTCTTGTGTTTTATCTCACAGAACACAGACATTGAGGCCAATAGTATCAAACCATAATGGGAGCGTCACACTGAATGAGGGTGCGCAGCCTGATGATGGCCCAGAAAACACTGCTGTCCTAATTTAAGGTATGAAAGTCCTCAGTGGGTGGTGGAGCATTACACTGGCTTGTGCTCTGTTTAGACTCACGTTTGGGTCTCAGCTACCCACCAGAGCTCAGAAGCACTTGTGAAGTCCTGAAAAAGGTTTTTCTTATATGGACGAAGGTCATTGTTAAAGGTACAGTTCCTCAAAAACAAACGTCTGGAACAGGTGAGCTTGAGCTATATGGAAAATCAAGTAGATGCAGAAGCTCTTTCTTAATCTAGATTACTGATTCTGAATGGGGTCAGTGGAGGAGATGGTGGAAGTCTGGCAGTGGTGAGGGGGGGCATGTGGGTGCTTACTAAGCAGATGTGGTTAGTTGTGCTGTGAATGTGTAAAGGGTAGAAATAAGACCATTGAGAAGAAAACAGATCTTCTTAGAGTTCCTCATTTGTAGAGAAAGTAGCTTTGTATTGAATAATTTGGTCAGTTATGCAAAGAAAAGTGCAGATGATTAGGCTAATGTAAAAACAGCAATGCTGACCATTTTCTGTGCAAGTTAATTATGTGTCGGTTGGCTAGTTATGCTCAGTGGCTGCAGGGGGCTGGTGTCCTCATTCTTCCCTCATCATTTTTTTATTTGGGGTAGATCCATGATGCACTGTAAAAGTTGTTTACATATAGATCATTTTTACTATGTTGCTGCTGTTGAATATGAGAGGGAGAGATAATGTTACAGCTATATTGTTTTGTCACTTGAAAGTTTAAGCTAATGGAGACAGTAGTTATATCTTGGAGTTGAACCAGACATCTTTGAGAAACACAGTGCCAGCTTGGTGGAAAAATCCTTTTGGGTGCGCATTTCTCCGTTTGCAAGAGTGATGACTGTAACTAGTCTGGTAGGTTTGTGGCTGCCGTGATTGTTCTGGTAATCATCCTTGAAAAGGATCAGTCGTCAGTTTCCTGTTTAGATTCATACTGTAGCCAACCTGTTGACAGAATGGTGTTTTGTGTTATTGATTTTACAGAGTAAAGTCTGGTTCGTTGATAGACACTGGCATGCACTCTCCCTTACTGTTTGTGCATTTCATGGTGGCAAAGGCCAGTAGCACCCAACTGCATATGGCGACTCTGTGGCTGTTTAATGAATATTCTGCCTACTCTGTTTGGCTTTGGCTGCCACCTTGGCAGACATCTCTGGGCTGTTATCTGGACAGGACACAAAGACTGACACCAAAATGTTATTCATATAAGAAAAATTGAACTTAATGTTGAATGGTAGTATAATATGAAACTTAAACTAGGCTAATGTAACACTGGATATGCCGCAACGATAGCAAAAATAAGTTACTACCATATGAATGTTTTAAAATCTTCTAGAAATTACAAGTTGTAAGTCATATGGTCTTTTCAGCTCCAAGTTCCTAAAATATTCCACATTATATGCCCAATATCTGAGCTTTAAGTACTGATTACTTTTTAAGAATGTTACCTCCTGTAATCAAGTACTTTAGCTATGTTTTACTTTCTTTCTTTCCCACCTTCGTTGGTGCCTTCAGATATGTTTAAAGCTGTAGTTCTCTTCCTGGCCAGCAGGGAGCAGTAAAGTAACAAAAACATGTACAGAGCTAGTGTAGTGAAAACAAACTCACCATATTTATTTAATGCTAAAAGACCGGGGGGAAATGAAACTGCATCAGCTTTGTCCTGGTTCAGTTAAAATCTGAACACAGACAGGTCTGTCCACTTTGAAAACAAAAACATGCAGCCAGAGACAAGTCTACTGAGATCAGTGCAAAAATAATCCTCCCCAGGATAAAAAATTGATTTTAAATTTAAAAGAAAATCATCTAAAACAGTAAAGTGCATGATTTTGAGAAAAAGCCCTCTTGTAGTTTTGGAAACCCCTGAACAGGCAGTGAGGGTCACACACTGAAAACAAACGCTCCTTAAAAAAAACAAAACAAAGAGACAGACATAATGGAGTGCATACAGTATGCACTGGTTCAGTCTTAATTCAGACATTCATATTTCATTACTGTACATACAGATCTGAACTCCAGTTAAAACAGCATATCCAGTGGTTTACATGCAAACATATATTCATCATTCATTTTGTAGATGCTATACATACATCAGAAGTTACACAGGGTCTATAATTTATCTGCTGCACATTCGTACAGATCATGCACCCACTCTCACACATGCACAGTTCCAGTCGTGTCTGTTTCAGTCCACTGCACTGAGGTCACATGGTATTGTATAGTAGAGCGGCTTGCTGCTTTTTCTCAGCAGACGATGTGCGAGAACGTCTTGACGAGTGCCCTCTCCCCTGCTGACGTGATGAGGTGGCCGTGCTGCTCCCGCTGCCATCCGACTCCTCCTTCTCACCTGCATTTTCTTTTGGACAAGGGAGACAGAGTGACACTGGCAAGGCTGAGTCATCAGGGGACAAACATGTCTTGTCAACACAAATGTTTTGAGCTAGGACTTTCTGCTTCTTCCAGGTGTCGTCCGGATGAGCTGGGGACAAAGAAAAGGAGTCCTGGGAGTGTGATGTCCTGGTATGTGCCCTCAGGTCCAAGTCGCTGAGGTCATTGGCTGACAGCTCAAGACAGTCCAGTTTAGCCAAGGAGGCTGACCTTTTCATAAAAGAAGGAGGAGTGAGGCCTGCCTGGCGGATACGTGCCTCGAGCCCCATGGGCCTGTGCCAACCTGTTTGCTCCAGGGAACTCTTCTTGCCTTCTGGTCTTTGTCGGAGCCGCTGCCCTACTTCCAGGCCTGAAGGTGTCTGTTCAGAACTCGCTCTTTTACATGGTTGTATCACTGTATCCATAGAGTCTCTCAGCCCCTGAGGATGAGACACACTATGGACTTCATGTACTTCACTGTCTGCCATCTCCAAGCTGACACCTTTGTGGAGGAAAGCCCGCAGCTCTCTCAGTGTCTGCTGAATCCTCTCCAGCTCCTGCGTGCCACGTGCCAGCCTCTTCTGAGCATCACAGCTGGGATCACAGTTCCCTTGCCTGCCATGGGAACTGGACTCCAGCCTCTTATCTGTGTCTGACTCTTCAACCGTCACCCCGTCTAGAGTCATTTGATTTGAACAGGCTTGGGGCAGAGTCTGGTTTTGGCTGTGGAGCTGGTTCTGTCTTTGGGTCTGGGCTGAGGTATCTAGTGATGACTCTACAAATTGGCAAGTAGAGGCCAGTGATGATGTCAGCATATGGCTATCTGTGGATGTGTGCACATTGACAGGTATAGCACCAGAAACTCGGCTAATGTTCGCGTTAGGGTCTGGGAGGTTGTCTGTGCCTGAGGAGTCGAGTCGTTGAAACTCATGTTGCAACCCTGTATGTGTCTCTTTGTCTGTGGACTGAGCAGAAACAGCCGTGAGCTCGCCCTGAGTAAGCTTTTGTTCTCCAGAGTGCAGAGGGGAGCAAAGGGGAGGATGTTCAGTGCTCAGAGAGCATTGGGACAGTCTGACAGGAGAGTGTTCAGTGCTGGGGGAATGCAGTGGGGATCGCTGAGATGTGACCATCTCCATTTCCTGTCTCAGCTTCTGCTCCAGCTGCTTGGTTGCATGCCGCACAGAGCCTGCCAGCCAGTCGCACGGCAGCACAAAGAGAGGCTGTGAGTGTGAAGGTGCAGTTGAAGAGCCATGTGTGACTACAGAAGTCTCTGCCTCCTCTTGCTGTTCCAGTTGGATGAGCTGAGGGCTGTGGGAGGATGGAGGGAGCGATGAAGAGGTGGTAGGAAGGCAAGAGGCAGGGTGGCATATGGCTTCAATCTCAGTGACAATATGGCGGACTGATACTCCGTTGTCATAGTGAGGATGATGAGTTCGGTCAGGGCTGGATTTGTCACTGCCGTCCTCGGACTCCAGAGATACCTGCGAGACCGAGAAAAAAATTGTCAGATTTCAGTTCCAGTCTGACCAGTACTGGAAATGGTGTCTGTGTATAACCTCACTAATATAGATTACCTACAGTATCTGCTGCTTACTGTCACAGACCACTGTGTTGGTAGAACAGTACTATGACAATTTAAGTGTTGTACTAACTGCAGAATGACTGACAGCACTTTGAGAGGAAGTCTTTGGAAAGCCAAACAGTAGATAACAATCCAGTACAGGTTATGACTGGGGTTTTCATGGAAAATTATACACAAAAATGTTTAGCTGATCATAATGCCCCCCCAAAGAATCATGTTTACTTCTGTAAAGTTTTGAGGCAGTGATATAATAAGGCAAAAGCCAACTGAAGAAGCTAAATGAGGTTTACCTGACTGCCATTCCCCTGTTCCTCTTCCTCTGTATCTTCATTTTCCTCATGTGTCAGAGGTGTCCTCTGCACCAGCTGCTCTGAAAGTGTCTGAGTTCTGCCATCTTGGCCCAAGCCCAGAAACCTTTCTCGGGCACTGAAGAAATTGATGCTGTCCGCGCTGTTGCTGGATGACCCATCTGCCTCGTCTCGGCTGGCAAGGGCACTGCCTATCTGTAACTCACTGGGATTGTTGTTAGCATCACTGGGAACAAGGGGAAGCAGGGTTGTGGTAGCATGGCTGAGGGGGCTGTGCTTGTCGTTTGTTAAATCTGACAGTGATAGGTCTATTGTTTCTGAGTCAGTGGTTCCCAGTGTGAGAGGAGAGATTTCTTCTGAGCTGCTTCCCTCAGGCAAATTGAGGGAAAGTTCCCCTGGTTTGTGTTTGGGTGCTGAAACGAACAGCTGCGTGGGACGACTGTGGTGAGCACGCTGGAGTTCAGGAGTAGGAGGTAGGATGTGGAGCAATGGTGGCGGGTGGGGTACACCAACAGGAACAGTGACAGCCACGCTTGCTGAATTGTCCAGTCTTTCCTCTGGGACTACAGTAGCTGCTTGGGGTCTGGGGAGGGGAAGCAGGAAGGGATCGTCACAATCTGATCTGACCTCCCCCTGAACCAGTGAGTCACACACAGCATTGGAGTGCATGTGTGAGTCAGAGGTGTGTGCGGTGTTAGATCTGGCAGAATCTTCAGGTTCAGCACCAAGTGCCTGCAGCACAGCCACACCCAGGAAGTGCTGTAAGGAGGGGGAGGTGTTGTTGTTGTGAGAGTCAGAGTGCCCCAGGGATTGTAACGAAGGTTTACACGTAGACACTGGGCGATCTGACAGGTCGCTGTCAGAGTGGGAGCGCCATAGCTTATTATGCCTTTGTTTGCTGTGAAAGAAAATTTGAATAATTTGTTATCTCAAAAATCCAGCCTGAGAAATGTGCACGTTGTATGAGTCATTTCTATGAGAGCATACCTGGCCATGAGAATTCCCTGATACTCCTCTAGCTGTTTCATAAAGGAAGGATTTGGTTTGGTGACCGCTCGTCTCTCTTTCACATAGTCGAAGGCAGTGTCCAGGTCCCAGCCATACTCTTTCATAGCATAGGCAATCACTGTGGAGGCAGAGCGACTCACGCCCATTTTACAGTGAACCAGACACTTAACACCAGCTTTCCTAAGAGAGAGAATTAATCTTTATAGAACTTCATAGCAGAAACATTTCATCTATTATGCAGTTAAGGTAACTGAAAAGTTTAAAACAAAACGTTATATTAATACGGGGGAAAAGCCATTTAAACCATTTGATTTCTTTCAATATTTAAGTATATCGAGGTACTATTAAGTTACCATAAACTGTGTACAAATGTGTGCTTAAACCTACTTGGCTTTGGTGATGAACTTGTAGGTGTCGTTCCAGTACTCCAGCAGGTTGGTGGCCTCTTCATCATACACTCTGATGTTGTGGTACTCAAACATCCCTGGGAAGAAGTTGTCTATTTCCCTGGTCACGTTGAGGATGTAGCGCACTCTACATAAGACAGGGAGAGGCAGGTTGACTTGCTGAACATTTAGCACCAGTAACAGTTCACATGTCAGTGTAGTTTATTCAGATGATGAATGCTTAGCTAGTAACACACAGGTCCAGCTCTGCTGCAAACTATTTTGTAGTTCAATGCAAGTAACAGGTGGTTTGAAATAAATGTAAAACCAGTAGGTTGATAATTTTAAAAGTATATAATTTAACTGAAACTGTATTGTTTAAAAATTAATTTTTCCAGACAGAGATACCAGTGAGTGAGCCAAAGTGTGGTTTGTAGGGTGATGAAAGAAATGAAGGGACTGATCTCTTACCCACTGTTCTGCAGCTCCTCCAAGTTGGAGGCATTCCACTCAGAGCCCTGAAGACAACACAGGCCCAGTCAACAATAAGGTGTAGAAAAATAGATCATTTGAAAGAACATTAAGTGAAGCAAGACAAAGTTGTAGCCAAATAAAATAAGAAAAGCAGAATTAAGAAATCCAGGATAACAAGAAAAAGCAAGACCTGACCTAGTCTACTAAGTGCATCCAGGCTTAATATGTTTCACAAAGAACAAGTCAGGTTGAGGAGGTGCAGCTAGGTAAAGCCAAGTCTAAGTAACTGGGATGAATGCACGTTCGTGGCAGGTGCTAGCAGACCAACTGAATGTATGAAGTCGCCTAAAACATGCATTTACTAACCACTGTTCTTAATTAAAACCATGTTACTCAGGAGATATACCATGAACACTAGGCTACAACCACTAATCCGCAATGCTAGAATACGTATTACAACCTAAATGCACCAACATGGTTCATTCTACACACAGTGGGATGTGGATTTTAGAAATGTATTCCTTCTTGTATACCTAAACCTTCTTATTAACTAACTTCTAAACTTAACAAATCCACAAGTAAAGCTTAATATAGGCCTATTTTGGCTGACTGATATCTCTGATATTATCAATAATAATTAGCTATTTATTTTTAGTGTTGTTTATTTATATATAACCTGCAATGTAAATTTGAATGAGTGAATTCATTCATGAAATTTTTAGACCATATGCCTCCACTTCGATGTTTGCTAATGATCAGAGTGACAAGACAATTCCTTAAACTTAGTGTTTAACTAATTTGCTAATATTAAACATCAGATAAATAAATCATTAAAAGCTGTCTTTATTAAACATAACCTATATAATTGATTATCATGTCAAATTTAAGGAAAACGCAAAAACAGGCTCAGTGATGGCGCTTCCACCATTTTTGTGAAATGACCCATACAGGCCATCACATTTTGCAGTTTCACTGTAAAAAACAGGCGGGTTTCTGATCAGTGACTAGTGACAGAAGAGATAGAGTCTGGAAGAGGCTAGAGTAAATCTCCATCATAACTTATGTGCCACTGCTTTTGTGAAACATTCACTTCTACGTTCAGCCAGGATAACTGGAACATTCTGACTTAATCCTCTATCTAGATTTTATGAAACAGTCCTCTGGATTCTTACCAGATAAACATGCTCAAAGATCTCAGTGGGGCTGTCCATCTGTCCCAGGATGACGATCATCTCTTTGTCTATGAACTCCTTAAACTCCCTCAGGTTACAAACCATCTGCATCTCCAGCTCTGTTCGGATCTGGGAAAAGAATTTTGCAGGTGATGATTCTGACTCATGAGTCAGTGCTAAATATGTGGCAAGAAAAGGGAATTGGATGATATTCTCTTAACAGAGATTCAATCTGTTCATGCAAAAGAAGAAAAAAAAGCAGTACATGGTCATTATTTAAAAACTAAAACTTGCAGTTATCGGCGTGCCTCTCACCTCTTTGCAGGTGACGTTCTCCAAGTCCTTCTGCATCATTATCTCTCTGAGGCGAATCTTGATGAGTCTCTCTGTGCGCTCTCTCTCTGTGGGCCTGTAAATAGAGTTAAACACTTAATTTTATAAAAAAAAAACTGACACATTTTCTCTGTGTCCAAAAATGCCTTTTAGGCAAAGAACCACCTTCACACAGTAACAGTCCTTGCCTTCTGTTCATTGATTCATTTTCACATTTGTCTCCATGAGATTACTTATGCCACAAGAGAATTGCCACTTTGTCTGCTTCTCAGAAACTGGAGAGGGAATAGAAAATCTGAGACTGTGGCCCAGCGGCAATCAACAACAACATCCCCTTGTAGAATATCCCTGTTGTTGTGCCTGGCTCTGTTTCTAACCACTCTGCTGGGGGACACTTTTAGCTTTTGGACGTCACAGCAATGATACCAACTAGTGGCCTAATTACCTCTCAGGAGAGAGAGGCTCGGTTTGTCTTCAAGCTTCTCCTCCCACTGTCCAATTTTCTCATTTTGCTTCTACTGTAAGTCATCGTTCATGGGAGTACACAGCTGTGTAGCTCAGCAATCACAAAGAAGGGCAGTGTGATGGCCGCAGGTGTGTAACGACAGACTTAAAAGCACCTATCAGTGTTCACTGGAAACAGTCTGCTTGTTTATCTCAGCACTAAACACCTTCCTGACCCCAAGAGAATTGCCAACAAATACTGGGTTAGTTACCCACAACCAGTAGAACCTGAACCTCACAACAAGCCTTAATTTGCCTGCAGACAGCCTGAGAGGGAAATTCTCAACAGGAAGATAATAAAAAATAAAGGGGGAAAATAGTACACATGTGCCGAACGTATGACGACAAAGAAAAGTGCTAATGAGTAAGAGGAATGGAAATTCTGTCACTTCCTTGTATTGCTGATAGAGGAGGAGCATAGGGAAATTCAGAGTAATGCCCATAAATCAAACTATTTCATGCCAAACTACTTCCTGCTATCTTATACTTTCATTCAGTGGTTACACAAAGAAACAAGCTGCCATGTCAACAAACACTAGCTGGGCATGCAGCCACGGCACTCACCCTGAGCGGGAAGACAAAGAGACTTTATGACTGTATGTGTATGTGTGTGTGTGTGTGTGTGTGAGTGAATGAGAGAGAGAGAGAGAGAATGTGTGCACAAGAACTCAAAGTTATGGTGGTAATTGTGATGATAAGAACACTTGACATGAAATGCAAAAGTCTGAGGTGCTGTTGCCAGTCAGACATTAAATATGGGCGTTTCTTGATAGCCAACTTTAAAATGAAACTTTTTTTCCTGTCCTCACTTCTTACTCATTTCATCCAGGGGCATCAGGTGCATGCAGCAGCAAAATATCTTCCTTAATTTCCCCCCTCCCACCCTCAAATCCTCTACCTCTCTCTCTCTCTGCCTGCCACCTGCTTCTGTCTGTCCCTGTGTTGCTCTGTTTGTCTGTCTGTACTTCGTTTTTCCAAGTGTATAAATGAAGCCAACTAAAGCTTCAGCTATTCTGGACACTTGAGGATCACTGAAGTGTGTATGTAAGAGTAAGAGATGACCCAAACAGGTATATGACTAAGCAGCAGGGAGGGGCATTTCCCTGCTGTTAGTAAATCCAACAGCCTGTTTTGCTGCCTGTACTTTCTGTCTAGCCTGGAAATCTGTGACAACTCTGTGCTGCAGGATACGAAGTTGCATTTGTGTATATGAGGAGCATATGCACACAACTCAACCATGGCTGCATGTGTGCTTTTGTTTTTGTTTGTGCCTATCCTGGCAGGTTACAGACAGCCTACGTCTTCAGTTGCAGAGTCCAGGGCTCTGATGCCTGAAACCTGTAGTTATCTGCCATTTCTGACCCTGCAATTGTGTACATTTGTGTGGAGGAGATGTCTAAGTCCTAACTGTTGTGCATTTTGGGCTATACGTTTATCTACATGCTTGTATGCATGTTATTCCTGTACGCCACACAATTTCACACAAACCTCTGTCCATCTTGGTTGAGGATTTGAGAACAGCCCGAACACCTTATTTATGAAATGCGTGTGTGCCTCAAGTATTTTCTCCAGTTACTGTGCATGGGCCAACATTAAGGAGGACATTTGCAACACAAAATATGAAGTTACTTGTTGGTTATCCACGCTACATCTTGTTCCACAAATACAGTACAGGAACCTTTTTCTAATATATAGCATTTCTTGTGTGAAGCATAATTTCTCATTTTCAAAACAGTGAATTAACTGCAAGTGGGTGGGTTATGGGTCCTTTTCCACACGACATGTGGAGCATGCATACAAAATGAAAACTTGTGAAAATGACTGTCTGGAATGCACAGCTAGTCAAATAATATCCCAGATATTCCATCATCTTGTGAAATGTGGATTTGCGTAATGTCTGTGGGTATTCATGTGGTCATCCTTCTCCGCGTGTACTCACAGGTCTGTGAAGAGAACGGGTGAGTTGGCACGGTGTGACTCAACGTCCTGCATGGCATTCCACTCGTTGATACAGAACTGGTTGGATGAGATCCTGCTCTGATAGTAGCTGACCCAGGTCAGGAATAGGCTGCCTGGGTAGTAGTTATGGCAGCGAGCCACCTCGCAAGCTTTGTGGAGCGACTGGAGGGCTGACCTGAAGCAGACAGTGAGAAGAAAGAGGATTCACTCTTGAGGGGAAATGACAATACTTGAAAATGCAGTGCAGAAGGTAATTTGTACTGAACTTGACCATGTCCGTTGAGTGTAATGATAATTTAGAGAGGCAATGGCTGAAAGAAGACAAATCTGGGAAAGTGAGAGCAAGGGAGGAATTATGTGTGATGGAGGAAAACGTGACAAAGAAGAGGCACGAATGCATACAGGTAAATGCATATATGAAAAATATAACAAGGGGGTGGGTTAAAGAAATAGAGAAATGAGGGAACAGTAAAGGTGAGAAAAGGAGAATGGAAAGATAACAGTGATGAAGACAATGCAGACATATGGCTGCAGATAAATTAAGGTATTAGAAGAGCAAAATAACAATGGGACAAACAAATGAGGAAATGAAGACAAGTATGGAAATGAAGAGGCAGCACTAGCATGCGAGACATATGTATAAAAAGACTGGAAAGCAGTAAGATCAAGAGTAGAAGGAAGAGGAAGATAAACAGTGACAAAGAGAAACGTCTGGAGGTCAAAGTCAAAGTGGGGTACAACGGACATAATGTAATGTAATGTCACTGTCATTTGTTGATAGAAATAAAGGTTGCTCACCACATGGCTTGGACTGAAACTGGCTTGAAGACATGAACCCTGTTCACTGTTGACACACTAAAACCACTGTAAAGATACAGTAGACAGAGAGAGAGAGAGGGAGGAGTTAATGTCTTAATACATCAACAACACAATGTCTAAATAAGAGCAACATGTCAGCAAGTGACCAGAGCCATCAGTGTGTTGCCCAAGGAGGCATTAAGAGGAAGCAGGACATAGGTGTGGTGTCTTACCCATCTCCATCCAGGTGGATCAGAGTGTCACTCCACAGAGGTAGAACCAGGCCGACCGTACAGCAGCTGGAAGGAGAATCAATATATCAAACAACAGCACAGCAAGTAGTGCATTGTTGCTGCGACACCAACCTATCAGGGGAGACAAAGTCCATGCCGAGTACAATGCTTTCCTCTGTGTCCTGTCGACCATTGGTGGAGACCACCACCATGTAACGGGTTGTCTGCGGGTGGGTGCTCTCCAGACGCACAGCCTGCAAGAATACAAGGGAAGGAGACGTGTAAGAAGCAAGGGGAAGACAAATGATCCAAGATAAGAGGGGCAGATTATGAAACCAGTTGTCTAATGTCTTCTTTGGCTCTAGAAGCGCCTTCTAAAGCCTGTGAAAACTCCTGTGTCATCAAGGTTATCTCAGCTTTGGTTTGGAGATGAGTTGGAATTACAAACTGGACCTGTGGAGTTTGAACTGTGTGTTTTAATACACAGAGAGGGAGCAATGAAATACTACTGAGTGATAATATTTCTAAATAGCTGCATTATCCCTTTATTAAAAAACACATTGCAGAGACCTTCGAGAAATAGCAACAATGCTTTTTACTCCAAATACTCTGCATACTGTATGTTCTATGTAAGGGTATTGCTCTTGGTGCTGGCATGTTAGCAGGCATGCTGACCAGTCCAGTGAAACACAACTCCCTGCTGTGTTTCAACACAAGGGGCTGCGTTGGTTGGGGGGTGAGGGGATAACAAGGGGAGTGTTGTAGGCATGCATGATCCATCCATGTTGTGATGAGTCAGCGTGAGTGGCTTCATTCACGTTTCTGTTGTGCATTAATAGATTTAAAAAAAAAAAAAAAAAACACACACACAAAAAAAAAAAAACATGGTTTAACATCCAGCACGCCAACTAACAAAAAGGCAAGGTGTCATTATGGTGTGTTAACTGTGGCCCAAATTTCAGAGTGAGTACCACTGAACGTTCATGGTAACAAGGTAAACAAGAGAGTCTTCTTCCTGTGGGTGTCCATGTTCCGACCATCCCCCATACATGACCGATAGCACAGTGCCTTTGTTGGATGACCTCATCGTCTGGTGCAGCAGAAGTTGAACCAGACCCAACTTTTTCCGCCGCAAGGGGCTGCGGCATGTTGCCAGAGCCCCCTGCAGGGTGCTGGTACCAACTGCAGGCTGCAGTGAACACAGTCCCCCGTAGAGATGAATTGAGGGGGCTACATTTTTTTCACACATTTGAAACTCAGTCTGAGCTTAAGATGTTCCATCTTCAGGTTTCTGTTCTTTACGTTTGCAAACAAAGAAATGAAACCAGTTCCTCTGTTTTGAGTATAATCTCTCGGATCACAACGCCACCTTGCCTTTGCTAGCTTGAGTGTGTGTTACTGACCAGTCGGATGGTGTCCTCCGGCCGCAGCACAGTGAACATGGTCTGAAGGTGTTTCTGGAGGTCACCTAGACAGACAGGATTTTTACAGCCTCATTTAGTTTCTGGTTATTGTAGACAACAATCCCATTGTTAAATTGCATTTAAAGGTTGTCATAACACCCAGGTGAGTGTATCATTTCCCCTGTGTCAAGTTTCCAGTGCATACACACTGATCTCTCTTACACTTGGGCCTACAGCTGACCTGAATTCTGAAACATCTGTTGTGAAACAAGCACAGGATGCTGATGCTTTTATCAGCCCACTTCACATCAGAGTTGTGCAAAGGCCATCTTTCTCAACAAGCAACATCAAATTTTTATCTTTGATTTTCTATTATATTATTTTTTCATTATTCAAAAATGTCAAGATATTTCAAGCTGCTATTTAATCACCTCCATGAAGTTTCTGGAAAATTTCTGGGGTGTCAAATGAGGTGGGAGGAAGAGCTGGGAAAGGTTGCAGCTGTCATTTGTGTGCATACAGTTTGTACAAGTCTCTACCTGTGTGCTTGTTTCTGCGCTGGCTGATACGAGGTGCAGAGTTAGGCGTGGGGCTATTACCCCGAGGAAGGAACAGGGCTGCACCTTTCACAGTGAGGAAGCTCTCACTGATACTGGAAGAGAAGACAAAATGAGAGATTCAAACATAAAGACTTTACCAAATGATCTAATCACATTTCTTTCATGTAATTTATGAAATTATAAAAAGTGCCAACTGTAATCTATGAAATTATAAAACAGTGCTAATTGTAATCACATCCTTGCTCATTCTGACCTCAACTTCCTATAATAAGCACAAGATAGGGACAAGGAACAGATGAGTGCTGTCATGTGCTTATGTCAGTGTGACAATGCTGCATTCAGCTGGCCTCTGGTCTGCAGGCTCCCCAAATCGGAGCTGACAGAACAAAACGAGATCTGAGCCCTATACTGAACTCAGAACACAATGTTCTCTGCTCCTCCACACAGCTGGATTACACACACAGACTTACTTCACACTAACAGCTGCCAGTAGGGAGGGATGGGGGGATTTGGAGGAGACTGGGGGTCCGAGAGGGAAGAGAGCAAATCCCCTCCTCCCCAGTGTTATAGCAGAGATAAGAGCTGACCAGCTCCCAGCACCGCAAACCAAAGCATGTTGTATTAAATGGTGTTCGGCTCCTCTCTGGAACACTTAATCTTATTAACTGTGACTGAGGTCACTGCACTGAGGAGGAGGACACATTATAAAGTGAGGTCAGTGTTTTCACTGGATACCAAACAGAGGGTGGATATGTGTGTTTTTGTGAGAGCACCTCTGGTGTGCATGCAAGTGTGAATAACGAGGCTTTCGTTTTGATTCTCTTAGTGGCACATTAACCTAAGTCACACAAGATACCAATAAAACAGGCCCCCTTATGACCATGTCAAAGGACAGACATGGAAACAGTAAAAATACTTAATGAGCAAGAAATCTGCCACTTAGGTAACAGGCACTTGGGGGATGGTCCATTTATGTACTGTATACAGACTGCACAAAAAGCACAAGAGAAGCTTATGAATTTTAAAAGCTGAATGAAGTTTGAAGTACTGCTTACAGGCCAAGGAGCAATACATCACAGAAGTGAAAACGCACTGCGTGTACTGGCTCTGTAGGTTTAGCCAAATAGAGACAAATGGTCAAATGTAGTAAATATCAGTGACAGTTTAGGTTCACTGCAGTTTGCCTGTATTAAAGTGGAACAAACAGTGAATATACAAAGTGTTAGTAGGGGAAACACTGCTCCACAGAGTTGGCCAACCTGTTCTGTTGAATAAGGCGGTTTCGTAGCCTCGGGGCCAGTAACTAAGAAAAAGGAACTGACGACTACACATGCACACAATTAATAGGTGGTGATGACATCAAAGGTACGTTTGCTTTGAAATTGCGTAAACAACTGGGTGGTATGCTTATTTTGATGGGAAACCACTCTGTTGGAAAATCTATTGCGGTCTTGGCAACAGGCTGCAAGTTCACACTCTGTGAACCCAACTTCTACAGTTCATCACGTCCTACAGTTCATCGGTTTCACACTCATCTGCAGTTTAGGCTTTCCATCAACCACTTTTCTCTGTAATTTCATCTCCCCAGCCACCCAGCTGCCCTTCCTGAGGTTTGCTGATGTACAGGATCAGGAGACAGAGACAACAGAGAATAGAGAGGAAAACAAAAACAAATCCACAGCCTTGTGCTGAGCCCATTTCCCATAACCCACCCACCCCTGACCCAGCTGTTTCCTCTTACTCACCCTCTGTTGCTTCCTCTTTACTGCATTTCTTCAACATCAGCTATGTCCAACTTTTCAATTCCATCACTCTCCTCAATTCCTGTTGCATCACATCCCATTGCACTTGCACACACACTCTTGTACTGTACTTGGCAATGACCATGTATAGAAGTGTTACTGTACAATGTCTTCTGTAACACAACACTCGTAACTCTCCCAGAGAATCATGTATGAAGGGCTGTGCACATGCAAACGCACACTTTTATGCCTGCACACAGACACACTGTGAAAGTGGAATCTAAGCCTGCGGATTGGAGCCGTCAAGGGCTATGAATGACTCGTGAATAGATTCTAAAAATACAGTAGTCCTTTAAAAGTTTCAGCTATTGATAGAATGCATTCACCAGACTACAGTCGCTTCACCCTAGAGAGCAGCTCTCTACGACAGAGCAGTGATGGCTCACTGCAGAGGTTTACTGGTGGACCTATATCTGATCCAATTAAAGGGACTGGTAAGGTTTTATAGAGAAAAAAAAAAACATTCCCCAGCACACAACCACTCACCGACTCTTCACTAGAGCTGCAAAAATTAATCTATTAATTGACTGACAAATAATAATCAGTACTCATTTTTTGTGGAGTACTTATTAAATCTTTGTCATATGGGCTCTGGGAAATTATACCAAACATGTTCACATTTTATATGCAAAATAATTAATCAAGAGAATATTGCCAAATCAAGTAAAAAAAATCTTTGCATCAGGAGACCCCGATATTGATTTGATTTATTTATTCTTTCAAGCATGTAAAGACAGTTGATATGACAACACACATAATTTTACACATATCCAACAAATGCTAATCCAATATCAATTTGCTTATACCTAGTACATGCTTGAATGGAGTAGGAAGAAGTCAGACTTATCCAGTCCTACCCCATGAATACAGCAGACAAGAAGGATCTAATGGTACTTACTGATCTCTGGTCAGGTTCAGGTGATGAGCCCTTCTCTGCAATTCTTCTCCTGTAAGACAGAGTCCAGAATTATTTCTGAAAAACAGTTGCTATTTTTAAAAACATATCATCATGTTTAATGTTAATATCATAAAGCACAGACCACACAATTCCTCCTGAACTCCACATTTTTAAAACCTAAATTCCAACATGAATTTTTAAATTTAACTGACCCCTTAAATTGTATCCCCCTTCCCTTTCATTAAATAGTTTTTGAATTCCACCAGGTAATAAATTAACAATTTAGACTGTGTGAAAGCTCCATTGGTGTGATCCCTGTACCCCATCTTATGCACAATTCTTATTGCTCTTTTTTGTAATATATACAATGGTTGAAGTGAGCTTTTGTATGTATTTCCCCAGTTTTCAACGCCATACTCTAAGTATGGTAAAATCAATGAAGAATACAAAATGCGTAGTGCTTTCCCGTCCAAAATATATCTAACCCTTGCCAATATCGATATATTTTTTGCTATTTTGTGCTGAACATATCTGATATGAGATTTCCAGGAGAATTTGTCATCAACTATGACACCTAGAAATTTAATTTCATATACTCGTTCTATATTAGCTCCCCCAATTTTCAATTGAAGTTTATTATCTAATCTACGATTCCCAAATACCATAAATTTAGTTTTATATTAATGCAGTCATCTCTTGTAGCCTATAGTCTGAACCTATCTCAGTTGATACATTTGTAATGCACCAGCCCATCTGTTGGGATGAACCCAGATAACTCACATTGTGTTTATACTGAGTTCAAAGTATATTGTTGTTTATACAAGAAAAGTTACAAAAATAGTCATGGCAACTGGAAAACAACCTTTCAATCAGACTTACTGATTAAAAGGAAAAATATACACACTGAAGGATAAAGCAACTGAAAAAAAAAAGAACAAAAGCAACTGGTTCAATTAAATGTGACTCCACAAAGTATGTGAATGAGGGATTGGCTGTGAAGGATGGGAGATAAATACAGAAGATTCACTCAGTGTGTTGAACTAGACTGGGGGGTGGGTCATCTTTTGGCATCCATCCACCTCAGGCTTTGGCCTGAAGTGAAATGGTCAGTACTTGTTAGGGCAACAGTCACAGACACAATCATCACTATGTAAGGACCACTCCACATAGTGGGCAGATAACTGGGTGACCCCCTCCCTCCTGACTGTGCCCATATTAGTCACTCTCAGGAGGGCAGCGGGATAAATATAGGGCCTGGTTCTATGCAAGGCAGGCCCTGCTAAGGCCTTCAGAGTTTACACCTGAAACAGATACAGTGCATGGGAAAGTCAAGAGTTAGCAGGTTCATATGTGTCTCTACATGTCCACAGGTGCATGGTAAGGCCCTGCTGTTTAGAGGCACAGACATGGAAATTACATCAAAAGCAGAAAACAGTGACAGACAAATGAGCAGAGAGAAAAGTTTGTGGGGTGTCATGGTGGCACAGCATCTCTCTCTCTGTCACTTTCTACTGTCAACTTAATAAAGGCACATTTCCACAAAAAAGTGCATGAAATTCATACCAATTCTGATACAGATTAAGGGGCAATGTTGGATTTGCAAGAAAGCAGCAGATGTGGGTCAGGAGTGATAAAACAAAGAATTACCAGGGCATACTACAGAGAAACTTTAATCATCTGGCAGTTATCATACTGCTTAGACCCAGTGTCCTCTGTATGTGTGCAAGTGAGGACCTCAGGTTTCTTGGGTAATCCAGTGTGCAGGCCATGGTCCGGGCTTCAGTCACCTTAACAAACTAAACATACCTGACCCAGGCAAGCAGCGCTATTCTGGGATGGATTCAGATGACTTTTTTTTTTTTTGACAGTTTAGACAGGCAGAGAGACGGTACTGAGGAAGCTCAGTAAACTATTTAACGGTGGTCAAATGAAGCCAAATGTGCAGTAACTTTGTTACAGTTAGAATGGCTGAATAAGGCGTTCCATTCCCTCTTTAATAGCTGTTCTTTATAACATGTTAAATGTCCTGGACATTTAATAAACATTCAATAAACAATAAACAGAACTAGCTTTGATAGACTGGATATTCCACACCTGGTCTGATCTCTGCTACTAAAACTATTTATAATCAAGCAATATAGGTTATTTGATTTCAGATGCATCACAAGTATACACACAAGCATTAGGACTGACCTATATCCAGCTACCCATACCCTTGTTCAAATGCTGAGAAGACAAACACACCAGTCTCATGTTTCAGTCTCATCTATTTTCTTTGGAAAAAGCGTAGGCAACACAGACACATGCAGAGGGGAAGAGAGGGGCCTGACAGTATTTTATAACTGGGATCATAACAGTGATTAAGATTCCGTTTCACCACAGGTAACAATTAACTCCACCTCAAGGCTTGTAATTATTCATTCAAACCCTGGTTCTGCTGACATTCTGGCACATACAGGCATTTACACTTTAAAAAGACATATATACACAAACATTTAACATGCCGACTCGCGTATGCACACTAGATGCTACAAATCAAAGGATACTAAAACTCTTTCTGTTGTGATGAAGGCTGTCATCCATCCTGAGCAAATGGTAATTAAAAATAAACAATCATGATGCAATGCAGCAGATCCTGGAAGTCACAGGTTTCCCACCACTGCTGCTAATTACTAGACACCTGCCAGCACTATGTTACATCTTCCTATAAACATGTTTTGTGCTAACTAACATTTTAGAAAACAACATCCTTATAGACTGACTACAGCCTTAATGAAGACTAAATGTTTACATGATAACGCAGCACTCAGTCTCACGTAAAAATGCTGAAAAACAATGTAATCAAGGTGCAGGTTTAGACTGTCCTTGACTGTCCTGAAAGCAACACTAAAAGGCCAGTTTTCATGCGAGGTACAAGCAATTATTGACTGCACGAAAATGTTGCGAAACAACAACAAAAAAAAAAAAACAAACCACATGGGAGCTAAACAAATAAATTGACTTCATGGAATACTGGGTAATGTGAATTTCATAATCTTTTCAACCACATGCAGTGGTTTCTATATTGTTTTTCTTTTACCCCCAAGTTTGTCAAGTTTATCTCAGTCAGCTCCATATGAAAGTTTATTTAGCCAGATGTGCAGGACATTGGGCTGAAATTAATTGCAGAGGCTTTGTGGTTTTAAAGTCACATAATCAGAGGTGAGCATTTCTAGTGTAGCCTAGTACCAGGTTACAGGGAGATCTACTGTCATAGTCACTAAGAATTGCATTAAAAGTGTAATTCAGTTCTTTGTTTCCTGGTTTTCTAAACTAAGTGTCAGAAGTCAAGTGGATACAGGCCAGTTTTTGTGGGTATGTCTCTAATCAGTCAGAGACTTCAGACATTAGTGCAAGTTATTAGTATCTTCAAGTTTATATAGGCTCATTTCTTTGATTATTTAAAAGATTCCTTAATTCACTGCAGCTTAATAACAACTATCCTCACCACACCAGCCTTGGAAAAACAAAAGGGAGGCAGAAAAATGCCCAATAAAATCTCTTAATATGGTGATGAATGTCTCAATAAAAAATGTCACTTCCCTCCACCGAGCTTGTGTCTGGACAACAGAATGATTCACACCATATGCAGAACATTATGTCTTGGTAAGGTCAAAACGGAGCACTATGATGAGTAAGAGCCTGCTTTGTCACCAGGAAATTCATTCAGCACCAATGTTGCAAACGTGTTAGTTCTGTATCAGCTTACTCACAGTGTTACGATGTTGAAATCAGTCATATTGTTACTACTATCTCCTACAGAGCAGCGCTTAGCTGATGTTTAAATGCTGTTTTAACAACCTGACTATTCACCACACAACTAATCAATTTCAATTGTATTTTCCACTTAGGACTTTTCATGTACAAAAAACACAAAATACAGACTGCTCCAGAGTTTATCTACCCACCCACCCCCACCCCACCACAGCAGGACACTGTTCAAACTTACAGCTGGTTGATCTGATTTTTAGACACCACCGCGTCGTCGCTGAAGTAAGGCACCATCTTTGCCCCGCAGCAGGAGCAGAAGCTGACCGCCGACGAGCTGTCGGAGCCGGACACGGCGCCGAGGGTCATGCCGGCGGGGGGAGCGCAGAGAGAGAGAAGGGTGTCAGGTGTTCCTGGTCCGTGAGAAAACTTCTACTCCTCTCCAACAGTCATGTGCTCCGACATTGTAAGGAGGAACACAGCGGTCTTCCTTGAGTTTTAATACTCGTAATATAGTAGAAAATGGCGAAATATTCTTCGAAAGAGGAAATGCGACAAATCAGACGTTTCCGAGCAGCAATTATGTTGCAATAAATTAAGGAGGTCAACTAAAACTAGCACAGTGTGTTTCTGTACCCTTTGGTAACGCCTGGCTGTCCAAGATGTCCCAATAAAGCGAAAGCGAGGCCCATTTTAAACAAGTTTCCGTACCGTTTCCTAAGCATTATTCACCCCCGCTACAAAATGAAGTACCGTTTACAGTTGTGAGACATATGACTTCAGCCAAACTCTCACCGGAAGATTCGTAGGTGGGAGGAGTTGGAAACACGTGTTTTTAGGGGAAAAAACTATGGAGCCAATGAGGACAGGCACCCACACCGACAACAGCACCTCTGCACCGCCGCTTGGTGGAGAGGTTTGTAAACAGACGTGCGCCGTGCAGGTATTTACTCCACACTATTTAGTTCCTCGCCCTGATAAGAGCTGTGTTTATCAGTAAATCTGCAGCCTGGAGTGTTTGGTTAAAAGCTGCATACACTTGGCACATGGCCGCCCTTCCATGCTTTGTTATGCATTTCTGAATAGTCTGGACTTTAATAAAACTAATAGCTTTATTTTGTTAGAATAAACTATTGCACACCAGTGATTGAGTCATGGGGATGTGCTCATTAAGTTAATGTAACAGACCCACAGAGGAGGCTTTTGGTTTGGCAGTCAGTTCATTGAAGATTGTCTCCTCCGTCCATTTCTCCTAACACAGGCCTTGTGGTTGAGTTGCATAAGAAGCTAGAACAAATGAGAAACAGCCTGAACTTATCCTGACTTATCGACTGCAGCAGCAGCAGCCTGTAGTATCAAGGTAAAGTGATAAACAGGAGCCTGTCTTGTCAGTAAAATTTGGGGGAGAAATGACCCTTGACATCAAGCCTGCCTGAGCATATCATGTATCAGCTGACATACTGGGCACTGGGTTCAGCGTGGTTCAGTTTAAAGCCTATTTACAGTATCTTCTACTGACATGGCAACCTGTAGGGCTCTGACAATCATTTGAAAAACACTGTAAAACTACAGCAGCTCTCATCATATCCATACAAACTTATACTCTAAACTAGCAAACAACCTCAATTCAGTGGAACTAAGCTTTATAGCAATGTTTATGGAAGGCCGATTTTATGTTTTGACTGATCAGAGGTCTTGGTTCAGGAGCCAACACTAACAAGCAGCTGTCAACAGATGAAACAGACACTGCTGATGAATCAATTTCTGTCCTGTCTGTGCTCAAACTGAACACTAAAGTGGACATATAGATGATATAGATATAGTATATAGTGTATAGTTGACATTCTCTATAACTATGCAGCAGCTGTATATTTTTTAATACTAGACTCCACTTGTTCTCCTGAGAGTGATTCCATCGCAGACAAAACAAACACACCAACACCAGCGCTCCTGCCGTCAACACTACATTTTACTTTGTCTTGGCAACTCTCTTGCATCACAGGGCAGATTGTCCATTGAGCTCTGCCAGTAACTGCAACCACAAAATCCACAGCTGCTCTAGTGCTCTTACCATGTGGTTCTGTTTAGTGTCATCAAATTTACCAACAGTCGCTGGGAACTTATTTGTCTGTGGGCTGGTAACATGAGTCTGTTGTGGTGTTTTGCTGGGCCCTGGACAGGTTGCATAATCATCTTCCTCTAGGAATAGGTAGAAACATGCAGGTCAAATGTGCTGAAATTGTATATATTTGAGACTGTGTTTTGTTTGTGTGTAATTGGGAGTACCCCTAGAGTGGGCCCTACCATCCTGCTGCCTCCAACATCAGTGCATGAAGCCAGCTGTAACCAATTTTCTCAAGGTAAAACACTCTCCTGTGATTGAGTTGTAAAACCACATGGCTTCAAAACCCTTAAACAATCAACATAAAAACATTTTTCAAGGTTGAAAACAAACCAAAGAACATACAATGCCTTAAGTTCAAATGTTTCCTCACTACTCAGGTGTGACAGAAACAAGGAGCCCTCTCAAAAGCCAGATAAGACAGACAAAGACAGATCTGTTAGAAGTAGTAGCCCGTGTACTGTAACCAAACAGGTACTAGAGAAAACAAACACCTAGTGAAAATCTGTTCTTGAGTTTGAGACCCTATACAGGTCAAAGATGGGTCAAATACCTTGGTAAGATATATTTTTGTTAGGTGATTTTGTTATTTTCTATACTATATAGTGCTAAGTGACACGTTACATTTTTAAATGAGCCTTCTTTGGCATGTAGCACTGATATATTTGCCTGTGTAATCATTAACTCAATGTAAAAACAGCAGGTGTAGGAGCTAGTGTGGTACTGAGTAGGGTTATGATCACATACTTAGTAGCTCACGAGACAAGACGATACATGATACTGAGTTCACCAGAACAACAGGGTGTTTCTTATCTATTAATGTTAACACACTGGTGGTAGAATTGGTGCTAAGGTCGAGCAGGCTACATTAGCAGTATGGCTAACCAAAACAACAGAAACTCACAGGCTGGAAACATGAATGAAGCCACTTACGTAGACTCATCACAACGTGGCCGTATTGTAGACGCCTACAACACTCCCCCTGCAACCCCTCATCCCCCCCAATGATGCAGCCCTGTGCGTTAAAATACAGCAGGTAGTTGCCTTTTTGCCAGACTAATGTAAATGTACCGTCACTTTGCTGTCACACTCTGTCATACTGTCTGCTGCTCCAGTTCTGTTGTGTACTAATATTGTGAGCTTTTGCCTCAATGAGAAATATCATCATGTTTTAATATTGCGAGATTTTGTGGCACAAAACATATGGCATTACAGACCAATATACCATATAGGGGGCGCTGATCCTCAGGGGAGCTTTGGCTTTTGCACTGCAATAGTATTTTCATTCTGCATTGATTTCTTGACTTTCTCCAGTCTTTAACTCTTTTCTCTTTCAGTTATTCAGTTGACTACTCATTGACTCACACTTTGCATCTTTCTTTCTTTATTCTCACTGTCAACATCTTTTTCCACACACATACAGTTGTCTGTACTCCCTACACTGCACCAAGTATAACGTTACTGCAATAATGGATCTCTGCTACACACTGGAGCCTCAGGACTGACACTGAAATGTCAAGGACAGTGTTAGAAACTTCCCCCCACCCAGGTCAGTGTTTTAAACCAACCTTTGAATGTTTTGGTCTTTTCTAAATCAACCTTTAAGTAGTTGGGAAAATGGTGAAAGCAGCTGATGAACTTTGTTCTGCTGTGGCTGCTGAACAAATGAGGCTCCTCCTGCTGTGACCATCTGCAGGGCTATCAGATGACATGGCAGAGCTGCCAGAGGTCTCGGCATCACAAAGATTGAAACATAGCATTTATATGGTCACATTTTACTTTCTGGTAATATATCTTTACACATCTAATAAGTGAAGATTTAGTCACTTTACGCCCTATTTAAAAATGTCCCATAAGGTATAACCTTATAATGTTCAGTGTGGTGGATGACATGATAGTGCAGTAATATGGCAAAGTAAGACATGCTGTTTAAAAGAAATATAAAGCATATCGTAGATGGAACAAGAGGAGAATGAAAAGGTTAAAAACAAGTTCCTATGAGACAGCAAGGCTAAAATGTTGGCCATAAGTTTACAGATCCCTATGATTTCTTGGATCAGTAATTAGCAATTACACATCCAGTGTTTTAAAAGATCATTTCTTGCTGGTTAGCACACCTGTACTAGCCCCAGATGAAGGTCAGTGATGTCTTTGCTTTGATTTCTCTCTTTGGTGGTGCCTGTATGCAGGAAAAATTTATGTCGTGTTGAGCAATAATCAGAAGATGTCTGTGGATGTGAGAAGAAAGAGGAGTGGTGTTTATGACCGTGTCGTCCTTTGTCTTCTCCCTGGTGTACAACATTTCCATTTACAGAATGCAATAAATATGCTTGGTTGACTGGAGCTGAAGTTTATAGTATAATGTAATGTTTCTTTGAGGTAATGAAAAAAGAAATTGATTTCCTTGTAATAGCCTGTTGAATCTATTGATTTGGCAAGAGGAACTGCTGAACATGTGGATGTCTGTGAAAAACGATATGAAACATTACTTAACAACAGCAGACTAATACATTCAGACAGTCAACCAATCAAAATCAGTAGCTCTACAGATCTCTTCCTGCTGTGTATAGTTTTCCATGCTATGGACTCGTGTATCAGCTCTCACCCTGATGCACACAAGCAGAGCAGGTTCATCCTGCTGAGGTTGTTTAGTGAGGGCTGTTGGAAAAACGAGGAGGGTGAGATGTTGTAACTGCTGTATAACACCAAGCTGATGGCCAACTGTGTGAACTCCTCATATGGAGACCCGTCTTTGTAAGTTTATAGGCTGCTCTTCTATTATTTCCACTCAGCACTCAATACTAGCAGTACGACGAGATCATGTGCCATGTGATCTCGCGCTATTTCCCGTCAAGATGAAAGCTGTCTCGGGTTATCAGTACATAACTGAAAGAGAACAGCAGCCACCATAGCAGTGACCCTGGACAGGCTGCCAGTCTATCAAAGGGCTGACATGTAGACAAACAATCATCATGTGTTTTCACAATTTTTGTGTCTCATTAAATATCCAGTAGTGTAGATTCAGCATTACTACATTGCTGCCATCTACCAATACTCTGCTCCACCAGAAACAGAAAATGATAAACTTAGCTAACATGCAGTACTACAAAGATATCCAAAAAGGTGTTATTTACTGTGAGTCGTCTGCAGATGGTTCCACATGCTGCTGAGAATTGCTAATATTATGGCTCTGTTAGCCAATGCACATGAAGAGGTCTTTAGCCTGACTGTTGGCACACATTATCCTGCTTTGAGAATGAGCTCAGGACTGGCCCTTGAACACTCCTGAAGACAGTAGACTGATGGGAGCTTTTTTGAGAAGTGTTTGATTTTGCCAGGCAAGGCCTCACTGGGGTCATGTAGTGTGTGTGTGTGGGGGGGGGGCTCCAAGACAAGCATGAAATCTGAGAGTGATCCGGGGCCACAGCCAAAGCTCAAAAGTGAATTAAAAGGGAATGACGCAGAAGAGAAGACATTCAATCTCTGTCTGACAGAGAGGAACTCTGCACTGCTTCTAAACACTAATGTTCAAAGCTGAGACAACACTGGCACAGACAAGAGGGCACTGTTTTCAGACTTGAAATCTGTCATTATCCACTTAGGCTTTGATGTACCTGTTTAATCATTGTGTGCTAGAGTCTCCAAGGACAGACTGAAATGTATGGATAACGTTTCAAATGATAAGAGACT